CTTGCAGACAGCTGGTCATTTGCGTTCTTTGAGAGAGTTGTTGAGTCCACTTGGAGGTTTATCTGCATCCTTTCAGCAGTTCCAAGAAGGCTCCACACCCATTTGCACCACTCAGGTGACCCTGAGGATGCAGACAAAACCTCCAAGTGGCCCCAACGACTCTCTCAAAGAATGCAAACGACCACCTGTCTGCAAGGAGTATCAATCCTTCCATACCCCACCATCCAGTCAGAGCTGAAGAAGCTTCTTGGCTGAGAAGCAAAACGTCTTAAAAAAAAAAAAAGTCCAGTTGCCTGCACCCGGATGACTGAGAATCTCCATCGGCATGGAAATTCTGGTTCCAAGGGTGGTTGTAAGTTAAGGGTGACCTCTTTCCCTACCTACTGTCCCTGGTTAGACAAAATAAGTCGTATGTTGGTTCTGGGTCCAAAACCAGCAAGTGGCTGATGGAGGAAGGTGAGCTGCCAGCCACACAAAGGATACCTTTCCCCAAAAGGTGATGTTGCAGGCAGATGGATGGCTTTGCTTTCCTTCCTCCCATCCACCCCCCAAAGCAGAGCCCACCCTTCGATTGCAAGCCCCACTTCTCCCTTACAATGCCTCCATTGTCAGTGATTATCATCACCTATGAAATCGGCAGCCTTTTTGCATCCCCCCCCCTTCCTTTTTTCCCTTTCATTCAGGAGCCTTGTGGTCCAAGCCTTGATTGTTCTTGGCCGAATTCTTTCCCAAGCTTGTCGTCTTGCTTTTCGTCCCCAAGGCTTTCCCCCACCCCTCCCCCGCTACATTCAAGGTGGAGGTGAGCGGAGAAGAACATTGCCAAAAAGGCATTAAGAGTTGTTAACCTAACCTTGCGTAGCTTCTTCTCTGGTAATGTTGTACTACTAACTAGAGCATACAAAACATTTGCTGGACCAATTCTTGAATACAGCTCATTCTGTCTGGAACCCGCACTGCATATCGGACATAAATACAATCGAGAGAGTCCAGAGATATTTTACAAGAAGTGTCCTCCATTCCTTTAACCGCAATAAAATACCTTATGCCACCAGACTCCAAATTTTGGGCTTAGACAACTTAGAACTACGCCGACTTCAGTCTGACCTAAGTGTAGTACATAAAATTATCTGCCACAATGTCCTTCCTGTCAACGACTACTTCAGCTTCAACCACAACAATACAGGAGCAAATAATAGATACAAACTCAAGGTAAACTGCTCCAGACTCGATTGCAGAAAATACGACTTCAGCAACAGAGTGGTCAATGCCTGGAATGCACTACCTGACTCTGTGGTTTCTTCCCCAAACCCCCAAAACTTTAACCTTAAACTGTCTACTGTTGACCTCACCCCATTCCTAAGAGGTCTGTAAGGGGCGTGCATAAGTGCACCAGCGTGCCTACCATCCCTGTCCTAATATTCCTTTTTACTTACTCTTTTCATGTATTCAAATTATGTTTATACTTTTACCTGTTATCTTATATATTTATTATTTATTTATTTATTTATTTATTTATTTATTTATTTATTTTATTAGTCATATTTCTATGCCGCCCACTCTCCGAGGACTCTGGGCGGCTTACACCAAAGACAGTATACTAAATAGCATATTGCCCTCTAACAATCTAGATCCTCATTTTACCCACCTCGGAAGGATGGAAGGCTGAGTCAACCTCTCTACCTCTTCAGCCGAAGAGGTTGCAGAAAAAAATGCTTTTAAAAGCCTCTGACGATCAGGCAACTCAGCTGGGATCGTCAGAGGCTTTTAAAAGCATTTTTTTTCTCTACAACCTCTTTGGCCGAAGAGGTTGTAGAAAAAAATGCTTTTAAAAGCCTCTGACGATCCCAGCTGAGCAGCACGATCATCAGAGGCTTTCTTTTTTTTTACTTTTAAAAGCATTTTTTCGGCCGAAGAGGTTGTAGAAAAAATGCTTTTAAAAGTAAAAAAAAAAAACAGCCTCTGATGATCGCACAGCTCAACTGAGCATGGGGGGGGGGAGATTTTGCTACCGGTTTTCCCAACCACCTGCCGCCATCGCTACCGGATCAGGCGATCCGGTCCGAACCAAGAGCATTTTTTTAAAAAAAATTGATTTATATGCTGCCCTTCTCCGAAGACTCAGGGCGGCTTACAATGTGCTCAGCACATTTCACCCCTGCACATGTCCCATGTATTGGCTATTTGTAGGCTCCTGGATATAACTGTAGGCATGGCCACTTTTAAAGCCTTCACCACACTATAAAAAAGATGTTGAAACTCTAGAAAGAGTGCAGAGAAGAGCAACCAAGATGATTAGGGGACTGGAGGCTAAAACATACGATGAACGGTTGCAGGAACTGGGCATGGCTAGTCTAGTGAAGAGAAGGACCAGGGGAGACATCATAGCAGTCTTCCAATACTTGAGGGGCTGCCACAGAGAGGAGGAGCTCAAGCTATTTTCCAAAGCGCTCCGTCAGAGGGATGAGTAAGCCTCTGGAGCTTGGTGGATTTCAAAACTTCCAGAGAAATGTGAGTCAGCTTCCAAGTGGATGTCGGTGGAAGAGGCAACTTGTCTTGGTCAAGAATGCTCTTCTGACTCAAGAACCAGCTCCAGCTGTGCAGTGACAGAAACCATAAAACATTTACCGTATTTTTCGGACTATAAGACGCACCTACCTTTTTTGGTGAGGAAAAGAAGAAAAAAAAAAATCTGCCTCCCAGCAATTTTGCCTCCTTGCAGCAAACAGCCTGCTTTACTTTCATTTTCGTTTTCAGCATAGTTTGATTAGCAGAAGGAAAACAAAAAAAATCTGCTCCCAGCAATTAACCTTCTTGCAGCAAGCTGCGCAAAACAGCTGAGAGTCGGGAGGCTGATCCAATCAACTTGTGCTAATTAGGCTGTGCTGAAGCTGAAAGGAGCTGTTTTTTTCTTGCTGTTTGCTGCAAGGAGGTAAACTGCTGGGAGGCAGAGGCCAAAGGGTGGGGGGCCAGTGGGTGGGCGGGGCTACATTCGGTGTATAAGACCACACCTAAATTTTCACCTCCTTTTAGGGGGGAAAAAGGTGCGTCTCATACTCCGAAAAATACGGTATGTGACATCAATACCCAGGAAGAAATGAAATGTGAAGGAACCAGCTGAGATCTGTCTGTTTTTAGCTATCTTTCTGCCCAAGGGATGTGAGCGTACAGCTCTCTGTCCAGGGGCCTATTATGCCTCCTAGTCCAGCAGGAAGGCAATTAAAGTTACACGCTCAATTGGTCACATTTCAGGATGTGACTAGAGCCCAGCTGTCCCTGAAATGAAGCTATTTCATAAGATAAAGGCAACGGCACAGAGCAAATGCCAAAACATCTGGCTCTTGTAGTAGCCCATAGCTATGTGGTATTTTGTTTTGTTTCTTTTTATTTGCTGAAACAACCGGAGAGTTAGAAGTAATCACGCAGCCTCAAATTCTTCTGCAGAACACGATAGTAAGGGTGCACGGATTAGATTGGGCAGCTCTCAGATGGGGATATTGGCTTTTCTGGATGTTTATCTTAATTGGAGGGAATAGAGGTAGTCCTCGACTTACCACCACAATTGAGCCCAGCATTTATGTTGCTAAGTGAAACATTTGTTAAGAGGACTTCGCCCAGTGGTGAAATCCAATTTTTTTTTACTACCGGTTCTGTGGGTGTGGCTTGGTGGGGGTGGTACGGCTTGATGGGCGTGGCAGGGGAAGGATATTGCAAAATCTCCATTCCCTCCCCACTTCTGGGGGAAGGATATTGCAAAATCTCCATTCCTTCCCCACTTCTGGTGGAAGGATATTGCAAAATCTCCATTCCCTCCCCACTCTGGAGCCAGCCAGAGGTGGTATTTGCCGATTCTCCAAACTGCTCAAAATTTCCGCTGCCGGTTCTGCAGAACCTGTCAGAGCCTGCTGGATTTCACCCCTTGTTTTATTCAGTTGCTATCCATATTTATGACACTTATCATTTTTACAGTCTTATTTTTTTTTTTGTTGCTGTTAGTTGTCTAGAATCATGTACCTGTGAATTCACTTGGGCTCTGACAAATGGGCCGTGTATGTATGTATGTATGTATGTATGTATGTATGTATGTATGTATTTATTGGTTCGATTTATATGCCGCCCTTCTCCAGAGACTCAGGGCGGCTTACAATGTGTTAAGCAATAGCCTTCATACTTTTGTATATACCTGCTTAGTAGGGCTTACGCCCCCCCCTAGCGGTGTTTAATCTCGAGGGAGATGGGTAGTCTAGAAACATGTAAAATAGCTAATCTGGAGCTGTGCTACCTACTTGCAGCTAGATAAGTGGTGGGTTGCCCCCGGTTCGGACCAATTCTATAGAACCGGTAGTAAAACCGGAGGGAGGCTCCGCCCACCAACCCCGTCATCAGAACGCTTATGCGCATGCGCTGAAGAGTGCGTGTGCGGCCCCATTGCGAACCGGTAGTAAAGGTAAGTAGAACCCACCCCTGAGCTAGATAAACCATGGCAGGTAAGCGGTATACACCTTTAGAAGTAGATCTATAAGTAGATCTATATAAGACCCATTTTGGACCATGGTCTAAATCAGGCTGGTGGAAGTGAGTGACATCCAATTGGCCACGCCCACCCAGGTTTTGGGGCTCCCGGTGTTTTCTTTTCTGTGGGAAACGGGTCCAAAGTATGGACCCGTTGAGTATTTATTTATTTATTTATTTATATGCCGCCCTTCTCCGGAGATTCAGGGCGTCTTACCATGCGTTAAGCAATAGCCTTCATACTTTTGTATATTTATACAAAGTCAGCTTATTGCCCCCACAATCCGGGTCCTCATTTTACCCACCTTAGAAAGGATGGAAGGCTGAGTCAACCTTGAGCCTGGTGAGATTTGAACTTGCAGTAATTGCAGGCAGCTGATGTTAATAACAGTGCTTTAATCTGCTGCGCCACCAGGGCTTATTTAAGGTTGCAAACGCCTGCTGTAGGCTGAAATGTAGGCACTCTAGCCACCGAAGAAAAGATATTGAAGTGGACATAAATGTATGATTTATTCTCCAGTTTGCGATCGATTCTGGAAAAAAGGCACACAAAAGGAGGCAACAAGAGAGTTCCAGGACTCTCAACAATTAAAATTCTTTCCCGTAAAAAATAAATTACAAGACTTCCAAATCTGATACAGAAATGTTTAAAAACGCAATTCATTGGTTCCATACAAAGGCAGGACAAGCTTCCGAGTATAGGATGAATGATGGTGGATTTAGGTTACACAGAAACACGACACCAAATATATGGGGGTGCAACTCCCAGAATCCTCCAGCACAAAGTTTGCTGGGGAATTCTGGGAGCAGCACGCCCAAAAGATTCGGTGGGTACCAAGGAGTCACGCCTTTACAATGGCAGGAACAGAAGAAAGAATTTGAGAATACAGGTAGTCCTCGATTTACAACCATAATTGAGCCATAAACCTATGTTGTTAAGTGAAGCATTTGTTGCGAAGCTTTGCCCTATTTTACAACTTTTCTTCCCACGATTGTTAAGTGAATCAATTGCAGTTGTTAACGACCCGGTTATTAAATGAATCTGGCTTCCCCATTGACTTTGCTTGTCAGAAGGTCGCAAAAGGTGACCGCGGGACACTGCGACCGTCATAAATATGAACCAGTTGCCAAGGATCCAAATCTTGGGTCCCATCATGTGTCCATGAGGATGTTGCAATGGCCATTAAGTGTGAAAAATGATTGTAAGTCACTTTTTTTCAGTGAATTTGTAACTTTGAAGGGTCCCTAAATGAACTATTGTAAATCGAGGACTAACTACTAACTATGGGTGTTAGAGTTGACTTACTTTGATTCTGCAGAGGTGGTGTAATTGGACACCAGCATCCACAGAATGGGTCAAAAAAGGGAATAAAATATTAGTAGGTGAGTTTAAAGCAAGTAATACTTCACATAGCAAAATTTGTACAGGCTTGTTACCATATTTCTCCAAAAATAAGACTGGGTCTTATATTAATTTGTGCTCCAAAATATGCATTAGGGCTTATTTTCCAATTAGGTCTTATTTTTGGAGGAAATACTGTAAATGCGTCCATCTGGCTGATCTTAACTGGGGCTTATTTTTGGGGTAGGGCTTATATTACAAGGATCCTGAAAAATCATGCTAGGGCTTATTTTCTGATTAGCTCTTATTTTGGGAGAAATAAGCAGGGATGAAATGCTCCTGGTTTGGACCGGATCACCCGATCCGGTAGCGATGGAGGCAAGTGGTTCGGAGAACCGGTAGCAAAAATCCCTCCCCTCCCCACATTGCCCAGCTGAGCCGTGCAATCATCAGAGGCTTTTTAAAAAAATTTAAAAGCATTTTTTTCTACAACCTCTTTGGCCGAAAAAATGCTTTTAAAAGTTAAAAAAAAAAAAAAAGCCTCTGATGATCGCGCGGCTCAGCTGGGATCATCAGAGGCTTTTAAAAGCATTTTTTCAACAATTTCTTTGGCTGAAGAGGTTGTTAAAAAAATGCTTTTAAAACCTCTGATGATCCAAGCTGACTTGCCTGATCGGCAGAGGCTTTTTTTCCTTTTAAAAACATTTTTTCTATAACCTCTTCAGCTGAAGAGGTTGTAGAAGAAATGGTTTTAAAAGTTGGGGGAAAAAAAAAAAGTTGGCCACGCCCACTCAGTCATATTACCTTCCCCCCACCAAGCCACGCCCACAGAACTGGTAGTAACAAATTTTACATTTCACCACTGGAAATACGATAGTGGTTGGGATAATGTAGTGGTATTTGAAGAAAAGGAAGTGAACATCTTTCTCCTAACTTCTCCCATAAGACTTGATTTCTGAAATAAGCCTTCAGGTATTTTTTTAAAAAAAAGACGAAAGGAGAAGAAAGAGAGACAAATCTTTTAGATTTTTTTTCCCTATGCCCAAATAGAGGTAGTCCTCGACTTACAATGGTTCATTTAGTGACTGTTCAAAGTTACGACGGCACTGAAAAAAGTGACCGATGACCATTTTTCAAACTTACAACCTTTGTAGCAGCCCCACGACCTTCTGACAAACAGAAGTCAACGGGGAAGCTAGATCCGTTTCACAACCGCGTTGCTAACATAACGGCAATGATTCTCTGAACAACTGGGGCAAAGAAAGGTCGTAAAATGGGGGCAAACCTCACTTAAGTGTCTTGGTTAGCCATTTTGGACTCCGTTGTAGTTGTATGTTGATGACGTCCTGTGCTTATTCAAAGCTGCCAACCTAGCACAATCTGTTGGAGAATTTCCCCACGTGGTTGTCTGGGGAAACCTTGCTCCCTCAGTATAAAACGGGAGATGGGCCATTTCCAGTGGTGGGATCCTCCCGGTTTAACAACCGGTTCGGTGATCACGCGCATTTGCCGCGTGCGTGCGTGCGCAGTTTGAAGAAATCTTCACTTCCTGGTTTCTTCAGAGGAGTAACACAGCTGATTCGTGCGGCAATCCACCCTACCATGCGAATCAGCTGAGAAGATAAAGGTTAGGAAAATAACGCGGGTGGCCGGATCTGATCGTCGGAGCTACCGATTCGCCCGAACCGGTCGAATCCCACCCATGGCAATTTCTATCGGTAAAGAACAGCACCCAGTCTTGTTAGAGTCACTAAGTTAGGAGTCTTCAGGACCAACAGGATGGCTGGCATCACTCTATCTTAACAGCAAGGGAGTGAGTAAGTAAGGGGATTTATAGAGGGGGACTCTGGGTCTAGAGGGGCCTGTAGTACAGGTGAGCAGGTGCATAACAGGAGATGGGTAAGATTTCAAATCTTCTCCCCTCCAAAGGCTTGGTTACCCACAAACTTGCCGTTTTCATATAATCCCATATAAAATCGAAGCAGCAATTTGTTTTTATTGAAGTACCTAAACTGAAAATAAAAGTTTTAGAACATAATTTAAAAAAAAAATAATAATAATAAAACAAAACAAAGCAAAACCAGCAGAAGTAGCAAAATATATGATTTGTTTGGGGGTTTTCTTTTATAGCAACTGATACCTACCAGTCACTAGTAAACTTACTATCAAGGTGATAATCTCTCTGGTAACCACCATTTAAAAAAAAAAAAAACCATGTAAATATATAATTAATATTTATACATTTTTGTGGCAGCTATGTACAAAAGTTTTCTTTAATTTCCTTGGTTTTGTCTGAAAATGTCCAAGCCCTGAATTCCTTGGGGGCTGCCTCCTTTAAATTTTAGACCAGAGCTGTGTATGATATATGATGTGGTAGATCACTTTCACATTTGATCAACAAAGTACCAATGGACAGTGCGCTCCTAAGACACCTTAGGAACAATGGAGTAGCTTCCTCTGTTCAACCTGCAGAATGTTGTGCTGCCAGAATAGCTTCCAGAATTAGGTGGTTATCGTGGGCGTGGACTTCAGTTTTGGATGAGACGGCAACAGATCCTCAAACAGGAGGCGCTAAAATTTTTTCAGAGTAGAGCAGGGGTGTCAAACGCAAGGCCCGTGGACTGGATCCGGCCTGCAGGGCCACACTGGAAACAGCGAAGGACCGGCCCACAGTGCCTCTCCCAGTGAAAACGGAGCTCGGGAGGCTGCGACGGCCTCCTGCAACCCTCGGCCAGCGAAAATGGAGCTCGGGAGGCTGCGACGGCCTCCTGCAACCCTCGGCCAGCGAAAATGGAGCTCGGGAGGGCTGCGTGCAGAGTTTGCTTCCAGAGGGTTGCAGGAGGCCGTCGCAGCCTCCCGAGCGCCGTTTTCGCTGGCAGAGTGCGCGGGCTGCCACAGGCACCTGCGCCACAAGTGACGTCGAGCTGGTCATGCCCACCCGGCCCCCAAGGTCACACACAACCCTGAATGAAATCGAGTTTGACACCCCTGGCGTAGAGAATCTTGATGCCCACAGGTAAGGTAGCCTTGTGCGTGGCAGCTCTGCTTTCTGAGCTCTCGCAGGTCGCAGAGCTTCGGATTGATGAATGGGGAAAAAGGAAGGACTTCCACCTTCACGGGAACGTCCTTTACCCCCTACTCCAGAATCTCCTTCTGAGAAGTAACAACATGCTTCTGCGTAGGAACAGACATCGGGATCTTCCTTTTTGTTGTTCTTGTTTAGACACCGCTTCCCACAAGATTCGTATGAGCAGCTCTTCAGAAGGCTTAAGGCTTGCAACAGATGGCAGTGTATCGAAGATGATGAGGATGAGTAGGCTTGGTTGCTTGGAATGGACTTTTTCGCAGTTCCTTAACGGCTGCCCCTCCGGTGGTCCGCCCTCCAGCCCAGCTGGACGGAGACTGTGCACAAAGACGCACACCCATTCATTCACTGACACACACGCTCCACACTCGTATGCACAGAAGGGTCCCCCAGATGTTGCGGCATCAGCGCCTTTTGAGTCCACCATTGGCAAGGTGAGGTGGATGCTTGGGAAGACAAGGTTCGTCAGGGAGGGGATCGTGGGAAAAAACGGAGTCCTCTCCAGACGAGCAGGTGGAACTGCGAGTGTCTGGAAAACTGGGAGAATACTGGTCCAATGGTAGAGAGAGGTCCAGGTATTCCTAAAAAGAGAACGAGAAGGTCGTGAGAACAATGTCTAATGCTCTTCTCAAGTTGGCAGGAGAAAAATAGAGAAATGGGGAATTGGAAGCAAAAATTGTGTTTGCTCTGGTGGATCCCCCACTTACAAGCTCCCGTTACTTGTCCCAGCTTCTGCCAACCTAGCAGTTTGAAAGCACGTAAAAAATGCAAGTAGAAAAATAGGGACCACCTTTGGTGGGAAGGGAACAGCGTTTCGTGTGCCTTTGGCGTTGAGTCATGCCGGCCACATGACCACAGAGATGTCTTCGGACAGCGCTGGCTCCTCGGCTTTGAAACGGAGATGAGCACCGTCCCCTAGAGTTGGGAATGACTAGCACATATGTGCGAGGGGAACCTTTACCTTTACCTTGATATATGGACTGAAATCTCTTCTTCTCCATTCAAGAACTGAGTATAAAGTACCCCCAACAGTGACCAAGCTGGAACTGATTATCCAGTTTTGATAAGCTATTTAATCCAGAATTGGGGCCTGGTGGCACAGCTGGCTAATAGCCTGTTATTAACATTCAGCTGCCTGCAATTACTGCAAGTTCGAATCTCTCCAAGGCTCAAGGTTGACTCAGCCTTCCATCCTTTCTAAGGTAGGTAAAATGAGGACCCAGATTGTGGGGGCAATAAGCTGACTTTGTATAAATATACAAAAGTATGAAGGCTATTGCTGAGCACATTGTAAGCCGCCCTGAGTCTCCGGAGAAGGGCGGCATATAAATCAAATAATAATAAAAAAAAATTAGCCTAACTGCAAATATCAGGTAACTGTTTTAGCCCCAGGCCCCTCTTGTCTTTATTGTCAAAAACCAGTAGATAATTTCCTTCTACTCGAGACAAAAATAGTCAAAACTTTAAAATTTTTACCCTACAGTGGTCGTAACTTAATTTTAAACAATAGAGCAACCTTCCTAACATCTCGGATAATTTGCCCCTCCTGCTTATAATTTTTCACTGTCCTACCTACTTGCCTATCTATTCACCCATCTCCCATAAGAAAACAGTAAAGACTTCCCAGCAGTCTAATTAGGGCAAAATGGACTTCGGGGAGGGGGGGAGAGGGAGGGGGGTCTTTTACCTGGTTGGAGGTCATGGCCACGATCCTATCTAAGTCTTCGACCAGCTGCTTAAAGGTCGGCCGTTGGGATGGAACAGCGTGCCAGCAATCCCGCATCATCATGTACCTGGGAAGAGAGAACAATTAACGTGCCTGCATCTAAGCTGTGTAAAACCAGAGAGGAATGGGACATCTCGCTCCATGGCCATCTTGCTGTAGCCAACTCGCTTGCGGCTATTTTGCCACGGCCAATGTGCCACGAGACAGCTCATCCTGGCCAAGTCGCCGCGTGGGACCATTCCACGTGGTGTAACTTAACGCGCTAAGTGTTATCCGCCGCTGTTTCTTCATTATTTCGACTGACAAAAACGGAAATAATGCTGGAGAAAACAGTGGCGAATAACATTTATCACGTTGAGTTATCCCCCGTGGAATTGTCACACAGCAAGTTATCCTAGACCAGTGATGGCTAACCTTTTTGCCATCGCGTGCCAAAAGCGGGGGTCGCGGGGGGGGGGGTCGCGTGTGCCCACATCCATAATTCAATGCGCCCCGCCTTCCCGCACATGTGCATGTGACCCTCCCAAACTTCTCCGTGCTTTTGGCACGCGATGGCCCGGTGGGCCCAGTAGGCCCGTTTTTTCCCCCTCTCCAGGCTCCAGAGGCTTTCTAGGAGCCTGGGGAGGGCAAAAACAGCCTTCCCCATCCCCCTGGAGGCCAGAAACAGCCAGTTTCCCGACTTCCGGTGGGACTGGAAGGCCTGAAAATCAATTGGCTGGTGCGCGCATGCGTGCTGGAGCTGAGCTAGGGCAACACTCGCGTGCCCACCAATATGGCTCCGCGTGCCACCTGTGGCACCCGTGCCATAGGTTCGCCATCACGGTCCTAGACCAAGGTGTCAAACTCAATGGCCATGGGCCGAATCCGGCTCGCGGGGTGCTTAGATCTGGCCTGTGGGGCCACCCTGGAAACAGCGAAGGACCAGCCCGCGGTGGCTCTGCCAGGAAAAATGAAGCTCAGGAGGGCTGCGTGTGGCCCTCCTGGGTTCAGTTTTTGGCCACGACGGCCTCCTGCAGCCCTCTGCCAGGGAAAACAGAGCTCGGGAGGGCCACAACTTCTGGAGGCAATTCGTTCCACTGATTCATTGTTCTCACTGTCAGGAAATTTCTTCCTCTCCTAATCAAGGAGAGAACCAACCTTAATTCCTTGATTAGTTTCCATCCATTGAAGCAGTAAAAAGAGACCTCTGAGCCAAGGAGCAGTGAAAAATTGATTTTCATTTTCATAAACATTTTTAAAAATATCTTTTTTTTTTGGTCTTTTCAGGGTCAGGGCATTACGAGAAGCCGAGAATAGTTTGTGGAGCTACAAATACTCTTTTGCTAAATGCCAGGGCTAGTGAGTGCGCTTTGCAAAGCTGGGCATGCAGCTTGCCATCCTTATCCATCACCCACTTAACTAGAGGCGAGGTGGCTCAGTAGCTTAGAGACGCTGGGACAAAGTCTGTACTCCGGCAGTTCGAGCCCCAGTATCGCATGGCAGAATGAGCTCCCGTCACTTGCCTCAGCTCCTGGCTAACGTAACAGTTTCAAAGCATGCTACATGCGAGTAGATAAATAGGTACCACTTTGGTGGGAAAACAATGGCGTTTTGTATGGTACTGCTGGACCTTCCCCACTGCAACGCCCGAGGCTGAGGCAGCATCGGTGGATGGAGAAAGTCCTGGATGACACTGCAAAATGCTGTTGAACCTCCCAGGTTGACCCCTGTGGAGTACGAGCGTGAACCGAATGGACTAGCAATTATCAGAAGGCAAACAACTACTTTGTACATATAGTATAGTCTTATGGCTAATGTAATATCGCCATACGCTAAATAAAGGTAAAAGTTTTCCCTGCCCTGTCGTGACTGATTCTAGGGGATGGTGTTCATCTCTGTTATCCAAAGATGTTTCCATGGCCATGCGGCCAGCATGACTATATACTGAGGCGCTCAGAGTGCTGTTACCTTCCCACCAAAATGGTACCTATTTATCTACTTGCATTTGCATCCTTTCAAACTGCTAGGTGGGCAGGAGCTGGGGCAAATGACGGGAGCTCATCCCCTCCGCAGCGCTCAGGTCTCGAACCTGGCCTGTCAGCTTTCCAGCTGACAAGCTCAGCGTTTTTAACCGCTGTAGAAAAGCTTAAAAGAAGTAATGCAAAATCAGAAGACCTGGCCCGCAGAATCCGTTAAGAGTTGGGTATAACTGAATGGATATCATCACCATCACCATCGTCATACTAAATAGATAAATCACCCACGCAACTGGGCACTCACAGTTCATTGGTGCAATTACTGGGTTTGTCCATCCGATGCCCCTCTTTCAGCAGTTTGAACAGCTCCTCCACTGGCACTCCCGGGTACGGAGAGCCCCCCAGGGTGAAGATCTCCCACAAGAGGACACCGAAGGACCACCTGGTTAGCACATAAGATACATCATGTCTTAACACTGTAGCAGTTACAAGCAAGATATTACTTAGTGGTAGACGGTCTATGGACGTATGGGGCTTTGGTAGGGGTTTTGTGCGTAAAGGAACACACCAAAAGGAAGAGGCCCTCAAACTGGCAACCAGAGGGAAGCCAAGAGCAGATTTTACACCAGCCAACTGCCAAGTAATGCAGACTGAAAATACTGTTTCTTGCCTATAGAAATTAGCATTTCATTAAACGGAGATGAATCACATCTGCTGTAGTCCACCTTTGGGAATAATTCCCAGCCTAACAGCCTTAATTGAAAAACGGTAAGAAAATTTAAGGGAGCTGTGATCTGTGACCAAATTAAATTTGGGAGGGAAGGGGAGGGGGAGGGATGTTAGGAGGAAAGGGTTAGAAGGCTGATTCTAATTAAACAGGCAGGACTAGAAGCTTCAAGGAGAAGCGTAGGCAGGGGTGGGCTTCAAAAACTTTAGCATTTCTGCCCTCCCTGGGCTCCGGAGGCTTTCCTCGAGCCTCCGGGAGGGCATAAATGGCCTCCCCAGGCTCTGGAGGCCCTCCGGAGGCCTTCAAACTTCCGGTAGGCCCATTTTTCGCTCTCCCCGGGCCTCCGTACATGCAAAACAGGCCACGTGGGGACTCCTGAGAGGGGAGGGGTAGGCGGGGCCAGCCAGGAGTGGGATTTGGGGATTCTCTGAACTGCAGAGAATCTTAGCTAGTGGTTCTCCCGAACCCCTACGAACCCGCAACAGCCCACCCCCGTCCGTAAGCATAATGAGACATAAGTAAACACAGTGAGAGCATAATGGCTGAATCAGTTGAGGCAGGAAAGTGAAGACCGGAGCGATAGCTTTCATCCATCCATCCCTTCCATCCTATCCAAACTTCCTGTCTAGAGCCAAAGCCTCTGAAGGTGGCGTAGATGGGCAGTGAGAACAGAAAACTCACCATTTCTTGCCCCAAAAGGCGCCACTGCCCGAGGAGCCTGAGTGGCACAGCAGACTAATGCTACTGTTAAAAGTAGTATTTAGCTTCCAGCTGTCTGCGAGTTCAATTCTCCCCAGGCTCAAGGTTGACTCAGCCTTCCATCCTTTCTAAGGTGGGCAAAATGAGGACCCGGTTTGTGGGGGCAATAAGCTGACTTTGTATAAAATATACAAAAGTATGAAGGCTATTAATATAATAATAATAAATTTATTTACGGTCACAGACCAAAATGCAAGCATAGCTACAGAAAAACATAGGGAAAAGAACATCACGAACAGCCGGCCACCGGAAGCCCCGGCTGAGAGGGACCACAGCGCTCTCCTCTAATGGTTACGGCTCTTAGAAAAAATTTTGAGACCTGAGAGGTAGTGTATGAGGAGCCATCCCCTAGACAATACAAGGCCAAATCACTATCATTGGGCCCACAGAAATCTGTCTCTAAGAGAGACATCAAATTAGTCCTGGCTACGTTGTACATGGGGCAGTGTAAAAGGACATGCTCCACAGTCTCAACCTCCGCTCTACCACAGGGACATAGCCGCTCGCCCCTCGGAAGCCTCTTGAATCGACCGTCCAGCAATGCTGAAGGCAAGACGTTAAAACGAGCAAGGGAGAAGACTCTTCTATACTTAGGGATGGTTAGAGTATAGAAATATGAGGCCATCCTCAGTCCAAAATTATTAAGTTGGCTGAAGACCAGAGGGGAGCAGGTTTTATTGGCTCTAGCTCTCAGATATTGTAAGTCTATGTCCACAAGCCGTTGGACTACCCTACATTGGGCATCTTTAAGGCCATAGTCTCCCATGGCATCCCCCGAAAAACCTAACAGGTGGAGTTTCTTCGTCAGATCCCTCTCCCACCGAGACGTATAGGGGTCAGCTAACACCAGGGAGAGGTAGCTGCCAGGGATATGAAGGCTATTGCTTTACGCCTTGTAAGCCGCCCTGAGTCTCCGGAGAAGAGCGCCATATAAATCAATTTTTTTTAAAAAAAAAAGTGCTTTTTTCAAGAGGCAACTGGACTTCTTTGTTTTTTCTCTGATGACGTTTCGCTTCTCATCCAAGAAGCGTCTTCAGCTCTGACTGGGATGGTGGGGGAATGGAAGGATTGATGCTTTATGGAATGGAAGGATGTACAGGATTTAATCCTTCCATTTCCCCACCGTCCAGTCAGAGCTGAAGAAGCTTCTTGGATGAGAAGCGAAACATCTTCGAAAGAAAAACAAAAGGTGCCTCTTGGAAAAAAAGCACTTTTGGGACAACCATGACTGAAGATCTCCATAGACATAATTTCTTGCACTTATTTGGCATGCAGGTAATTCTACCTGCCATTTGTGGCTTTGCAGCTTGGAAAAGGATATCCAAGGAGCAAGGGTGGTGAAATGATGTAACAGAGACGTTTGCTACTCTCAAGCAGAAGCTATCAAATGCACAAGTGTAGGGTTCAAGCCAAATACTTTATTAAGGTAAAGGTTCCCCTTGCACATATGTGCTAGTCGTTCCCGACTCTAGGGGGCGGTGCTCATCTCCGTTTCAAAGCCGAAGAGCCAGCGCTGTCCGAAGACGTCTCCGTGGTCATGTGGCCGGCATGACTCAACACCAAAGGCACATGGAACGCTGTTCCCTTCCCACCAAAGGTGGTCCCTATTTTTTTTTACTTGCATTTTTTACCTACTTTCGAACTGCTAGGTTGGCAGAAGCTGGGGCAAGGAACGGGAGCTCACCCCGTTATGCAGCACTAGGGATTCGAACCGCTGAACTGCCGGCCTTTTGATCGATTTGTGAGCTGCCCGGAGTCTTCGGAGAGGGGCGGCATATAAATTGAATTAAACTGAAATTGAATTGACAAGCTCAGCGTCTTAGCCACTGAGCCACCCGCGTCCCTTAAGTACTTTATTACATTCTGCCTATTATACAGGAATCTCTCCAGACTGCCAGCCTGAACAGATAGATAAGGCTCTATGGAGCTTAAGGAGGAGGTCAGTTCTGCATCCTTAAACGGGGGACGGGGGGTTAATTTTGGACCTCTTATGGCTACGCAAGGATTTGAAGCTAATTCTGCATTTGAGATCTTCCCGCTGCCAGGCTGGGCATTTCCCAATAGCTATCCATTGTGAGAGAGTACGAGGTGCAGAGAGTCAACAGGCTCAGTTGAAAATCTCTTCTAATATTGTACTTTAAGGAGTCACAGAGAAATACTCACACGTCACTCTGGTGGGTGTATATTCTATCAAACAAGGCTTCTGGGGCCATCCATTTCACTGGAAGACGACCCTAGAAAGCAGAAAAGAGGCCGTATTAATCCAGATCCATGGAGAAGTGAGGGTTCTGACTTAAGCTTCCCCAGCAGCATGAAGCCAAGTCCTCGTCCCGATAAACCCCTTTTATTTAATTTACAATGAATTCCTCTCCAGAAAAGTCTTTCCTCTCCCACAGTCTTTCAAGATACTTCACAATTACCGACCTTTTATCAGGCTTGGAGATCGGCCAAGCCGATATCTTTCAGACTCCCGCAATACTTGGCAAGAATGCAGGAATGAACTAATTGTCTCCTGCAAACTCCACTCCCCTTTCGCTCCTCTTTTATTCCCTCTGGGAGGAGCCATTCATCGTCCACCTGTGGCCTTACTCCCTAGTCGACCCTTGTTCTTCAGCTGTTCCCTTCGTCTGGCAACTCTGCGCATGCGTACACTGGGAAGAGGCTCCAGCTGTTCTTCTGCCTCACTGATGTCCGACTCCGAAGGCAGCTGACAACTGTCAGACGGCCCTGGTCCCATCTCTGCCTCCGACGCAGAGCCCTCATCAGAGCCTTCCCCAGACTCCAGGACTGGCCCATGTTCCTCCCCAACCTCCTCACTGTCCGAATCTCCTGTCAGATCCGCTGGCTGCTGGCAGGCCACAACAGAGAGAATGCAAGAGGGAAATATGCTGGGCCACCAGGGATCACCCAGGCTTAATTCAGCAGCTAGCCCAACACTGAACCTCTAGTACAACTTGCCCCACTCACTGATCTGTATCAGAAAACATAGATTGCAATTAGGACCAATGTAAGCAACACTTTTCTTAGCTACCAATGATATCCAAATATCTATCTATCTATCTATCTATCTATCTATCTATCTATCTATCTATCTATCTATCTATCTATCTAAGTTTAAACAGGAAGCTTGATATTGGAACCCATCTATTTGCAGAAATTATTTTGGGATCCACAAAGGCCTCACTGGGATAGTATACAGCCCCCTTCCTTCCTTCCTTCCTTCTGTCAGGTTTCGAGGTCGTCTCAAATAAATTGCATTTCAAACAAAGTCTTTGATGAAAAACTCCCATTTTATTAAGCACGACATTCTAGCTCCAACTCATCACAGCCAACACTGACTTCCAGACCCAAACCCCTCCCTTTCCATTCCCCACTCCCCTGCACTCATTGGCCATCTTCCAAATCACTCTAACCCTAATCTACTGCTCCAGCTCAAAGGAATTTCCCCCCTCCCATCCCATCTCCTAGGGGATATTATCTCCAGGGAAAATAAGTAGGTGAAAAGTCAAACGTCCCTTTTCAGACGCCTCCACTTCTCCTTCTTATGTCAGCACTAGAGTAAATGCAGCTTGAAGTGCTGACACCTTCCTTCCTTCCTTCCTTCCTTCCTTCCTTCCTTCCTTCCTTCCTTCCTTCCTTCCTTCCTTCCCTCCCTCCCTCCCTCCCTCCCTCCCTCCCTCCTTTCCTTCCTTCCCTCCCTCATCTTTTCTTTTAAGAAATTTCTAGGTCTCGGTCAGTGAAGTTTTCTCCAAATTTCCACATGCCTTCTTTACCGTTTCCTACTGAGCTTTTCTGCAATGCTTGACAATGGAATAATTTGAGCTCCCTTCGAGAGATGCCACTCACGTTGGTTGTCTTTTTGTAATAGTCTATGTGGTGAATGTCTCGAGCAAGGCCAAAATCAGCAATCTTCATCACAATGTCTTCCGTTACCAGCACATTCCTGGCAGCCAAATCTCGGTGAATGCACTAAAGAGAAAAACACAGACCATAACAGGACTTCCTACAATGCAGCAGCTCTGGAAGGCAGGGACAAAGCTTTCGGACTGAAGATCGGTAAATCCACTGGATTCTTTCAAAACACATTTGGTTTGTTTTATTTGTATCCTGCCTTTTTAGAAATACCGTATTTTTCAGAGTATAAAACGCACCTTTCCCCCCCCTAAAAGAGGCTGAAAATTTGGGTGTGTCTTGATTGTTTTCTTGTAGACCTTTCATTACCCACACTAGGTAACATCATCAGTGCTAGGACTGAGAAGAAGGAAAAGCATTTATGATATTACCTAGTTTGGGCAATGAAACGTTTGCAAGAAAACAACCAAGCTCAGAGAGCACCAAGGGCCCCTCAAGAGCCTTGGTAGTACAGGGGTTTAAGGCACCCTGTTATTAAGCTTATTAAGACCAGCTGCCTGCAATTACTGCAGGGTTCGAATCTCGCCAAGGCTCAAGGTTGTCTCAGCCTTCCATCCTTTCTAAGGTAGGTGAAATGAGGACCCAGATTGTTGGGGCAATAAGCTGACTTTGTATAAATATACAAAAGGATGAAGGCTATTGCTGAGCACATTGTAAGCCGCCCTGAGTCTTCGGAGAAGGGCGGCATATAAATCAAATTAAAAAAAAATATATATCAACCCCGAGCTACGAATATTCTCCTTTATTAAAATCCCGCCTTTTTTTTCTTGAGACATCTTCACCTCTGCTGTTTTGCATCCTAACTTACTTCTCTGGGGCTCTCGAACCTCACAAGCCGCTAGTCCTCTGCCCACCTCTGTTCAAAGTCTTATCATTCCTTCCCTTTTTTTCCAATTACTCACCTTTTTGGATGCAAGGTATTCCATGCCCCTGGCCACTTGGTATGCGCAGGATACCAGGTCTTTGAAAGAGAGTTGTTCTTCTGGGACGTGGGTGGGGTTATAGCAATATTCCATGCCAGGAGGACGGCGGGCTTGGAGGTATTCCCTTAAGTTCCCTTTGGACGCATACTCAACTATCACATAGAGCGGGCCTGGCATAGAGGAAGACAAGAAGCTTTAATGGGTTAGGACCTGGTTATCTATGGGACCGCCTACTACCACCAATAGCCTCCCACCGGCCAGTACGCTCTCATAGAGAGGGACTCCTCCGGGTGCCGTCAGCCAAACAGTGTCGGCTGGCGGCCACCAGGGGGAGGGCCTTCTCTGTGGGGGCACCTACTATCTGGAACGAGCTCCCCCCGGAGATACGGAGGATCCCGGATCTGCGCACCTTCCGCCGCGCTGTGAAGACCTTTTTATTCCATCAAGCGGGCTTGGCCTAATCTCCTCCCTCTTTTAATATGTAAATTTTAATCTGTTTTTAAATTATTGGGGTGTTTTAATCTGTCTGGGCCAAAGTGATTTAATTTGATTTTATCTGGTTTTAAATTTTGTGTATTTATGTATTTTATTGCTTGGCTGTTCACCGCCCTGAGTCCTTCGGGAGTAGGGCGGTATACAAATCAAATAAACTAACCTAAACTAAACTAAACTTTAATGTTGTGGCCTCTCCAGCAGCCGAATCAGAGGAGGAGGAGGAGATGTGGGAGTCAGGGTCAGCATCAAGGCAACCTGAGAGCTCCGAGGGGGAAGAGGGAATGGAGCTGACAGAGAGAGAGAGAGAGAGAGAGAGAGAGGGAGGGAGGGAGGGAGGGAGAGAGAGAGAGAGAGAGAGAGAGAGAGAGAGAGACAGACAGACAGAGAGAGAGAGAGAGACAGAGGGGGAGCCTGGGCCGTCTGTCAGCCCTCAGATGGAGAGTCACCACCCCCCAGGTCTGGAGGTGGCTGATGAAGAAGAGGAGGAACAGCTGGGTCCGGTGCCTGACACACAAATGCGCAGAAGGCAGAGGAGAGGAGAGCAGTGGAAATCTATGGGCCGGTCCTTGGGACGGAAGAGACACTGCTGCTAACGAAGCTCCACCCTAGCTCTGGGGATAAAAGGCAGGGGGCGGAGATGAATAGATGTGGCGGACAACTATTCATCTCCCTGCTGGACAGACTTGTTAGCCTGCAGTGAGAGAGAAACTTTTTGCCAGGCTGCTGGCGCTCCTATTAAAGGAATCATTGATTTAAATACAGAGGGTTTGTCCTGTTTGGCGAGCTGGGTCAGAACATTTAAGCAGAGACAGTGATACAATCACGATCCCAGTTCAATTCATGTGACATTTCTGATATCTAGCAGGCCATCTGAGGTGGTGGCCAGTTGAAGATGCCGAGGAATGAACTTTCCTGCAAAGTTGGACTTCTGTCATGGAGCTGCTGCCTTCCCCCTTAGAAGCACTTACCGTCCTGAGTACACGCTCCAAGGAGATTGATGATGTTCTTGTGTTTTCCAATCATCTTCATCATCTCCATCTCTGAGATCAGGTCAGACAGGTCTTTTTCAGTGGCATCAGCTAGGGAGGAAAAAGATACTAAGTCCTGATTGTGTCAAAGATACACTGAAGGGAGGTTAAGATACTGGAAGTGTCCGGTTGAAATAAAACTCCTATTAATAGCAATAGCACTTAGACTTATATACCCATTCATAGTGCTTTCCAGCCCTCTCTAACCGGTCTGCAGAGTCAGCCTATTGCCCCCATCAATCTGGGTCCTCAATTTACCCACCTCGGAAGGATGGAAGGCTGAGTCAACCTTGAACAGATCAGGATCAAACTCCTGGCAGTGGGCAGAGTTAGCCTGCAATACTGCATTCTAACCACTGCACCACCAGAAAGAAGAATGAGAAAGGGAAGAAGAGAGGGAGGGAGGGAGGGAAGGAAGGAAGGAAGGAAGGAAGGATAGCAATAGCACTTAGACTTATATACCGCTTCATAATGCTTTATAGCTCTCTCTAAGCAGTTTATTGTCAGCATATTGCCCTCAACAATCTGGATCCTCATTTTACCAACCTCGGAAGGATGGAAGGCTGAGGAGTCAACCTTGAATCGGTCAGGATCGAACTGCTGAACTGCTGGCAGTCGTCAGCCTGCAATATTGCATTCTAACCACTACGCCACCACGGCTCTTCATATAGGAGCCTGAGTGGCGTAGGAGGCTAATGCCTCCTACTAAGGCAGCATTTAACATCCAGCTGCCTGCAATTACTGCGAGTTCAATTCTCACCAGGCTCAAGGTCGACTCAGCCTTCCATCCTTTCTAAGGTGGGTAAATTGAGGACCCAGTTTGTGGGGGCAATAAGCTGACTTTGTATAAATATACAAAAGTATGAAGGCTATTGCTTAACGCATACCCGAAACTGCAGTCACCGGTTAATGTGAAAGAATAGGTATGCCCAGAAGTAGGTTTCAGCAGGTTCTGACCGGTTCTGGAGAACCGGTAGCACAAATTTTGAGTAGATCAGAGAACCGGTAGTAAAAATTCTGACTGGCCCCACCCCCATCTATTCTCTGCCTCCCAAGTCCCAGTTGATCAGGAGGAAATGGGGATTTTGCAGTAACTTTCCCCTGGAGTGGGGACGGAATGGAGATTTTACAGTATCCTTCCCCTGTCATGTCCACCAAGCCACGCCCACCAAGCCACACCCACGGAACCGGTAATAAAAAAAATTTGAAACCCACCACTGGATACGCCCATGTACAGGTTAAAACAAGTTCAAATATTAAAAGACTCCGAAGGCCCCAAACCGAACAAGATGGCTCTCATCAGGAGCTTTATGCAAAAAGCAAGACAAGGTTTTTTTTGTGGAAATTTAGAAATAAAATTGTAACCTTACTTACATTTTAGCATTTTGACTGCCACTTTAGTAACTCGGTTTGGCTTGTCTTTATCCAAGCCTATTGCTTCAGCCAGGACCACTTGCCCAAAACAACCTTCTCCCAGAGGTTTTCCTAGAATCAGCCTGGAATAAAAGCAAAAAAACAGAATTATTTAGCAAGGTGTTGCTAATCTCCGCAGGGAATTCACTGGAGCTTCAGCCGATAGGGTTGAAGTGTGGGTCTAAATAGCCTTTTTTTTTTTTTTTTTGGCTTTCTGTTCCGTGATATTGCCTGTATTATTTATTTATTTATTTTATTTATTTATTATCATATTTATATACCGCCCTACTCCCAGGGGACTCAGGGCGGTGAACAGCCAAGATAAAAATACAAATAACATACAAAAGTTAAAAGCTATTAAAAATAGATTAAATAATTTGGGCTCAAAAACAAATTTAAAAACATCCAATTTATGTAAAACATTTAAAACCCAATTTAAAAGGGAGACCAGCCTCTTGGAATAAAAATGTTTTTAGGGCGCGGCGGAAAGTGCGTAAATCTTGGATCCTCCGTATCTCCGGGGGGAGCTCGTTCCAGATGGCAGGTGCCCCCACAGAGAAGGCTCTCCCCCTGGGGGCCGCCAGTCGACATTGTTTGGCTGATGGCACCCTGAGGATCCCCTCTCTATGGGAGCGAACTGGTCAGTGGGAGGCTATTGGTGGCAGAAGGCGGTCTCGTAAGTACCCTGGTCCTGAGCCATGGAGCGCTCTAAAGGTGGTAACCAAAACCTTGAAGCGCACCCGGAAGACCATTGGGAGCCAGTGCAGCTCGCGCAGGAGGGGGGTCACATGGGAGTGCCACGTCGCTCCCATCACCACCCGCGCGGCCGCATTCTGGACCAGTTATCCAAGAAATATATCACTATTCTTCTCAGAGACTTTGTAGAACAGGGGTGTCAAACTCGATTTCATTGAGGGCTGCATCAGGGTTGTGTTTGACCTTGGGGGGCTGAGTGGGTCAACCCTGGGAGCATTTTTGCTCCCAGGAGGCTGCAGGGAGCGCTACTAGGCCCAAAACGGGGTGTGGGGGGAGCATGGGTGTGGTCACGTGCGCATACGCGGGGGGCAGGGAGAGCGCAGGGGGTGCGTGTGCATGTGCAGGGGTGTGAGGTGTTTAGGAGGGTTGTGCGCCCATTTGCATTATGGGTGCAAGCACGCACACGCCCTGTCACACGCGTGTGTCCGTGCTTTCAGCATGCAACAACAAAAAGGATAGCCATCACTGACTTAAAGGGTCTCCCTCACTTCATGCTAAAAACAATCCTCTAATTGATGGCTCAGAAATGTTATCCTCAAAGTTGGCTATGCATTATTTATTTAAAAAAAAACTTGTTATGGAAAAGAGCATAATGTTTCTGGAATTTTTCTGCCTCTGCCTTTTCAATTTATAATTGTGAGTACTCCGCTCGAGCACTTTCCCCGTTGACGCAGCTGTTTAACAAACATTAGACATGCCTCTTTCGCTGAGCCCTTCCAAAATTAAGAGGAGAATTTGGTACCTGTCCCTGGGCAGCTCCCAGCGAGGGTCTTCTGGCAACTCGTATTCAGAGACCCCGGTCAGCATTGGGGTCCCACTGGAGGAGAGCCTTGAGGGACGCACAAGCATCACACCAGAGTTCATGGAGGAACTGGAATCAGCTGAGACCTGCATCAGAAGAAGGGAGACAGTGGAGGTTACCTTTGTCAAAGTCTTCTTGAGAATAGGTTAAGTTGGAGTTTGGTAGGGGAAGAATTGCCTGCCCTCCAACAAATCATATCACCTTTTTACTAGAAATGGGTGCCCTTGTTGCTGTAAAGATACTTTAAATCTTTGGAGAAAGCTCCTATATCAATGGTTGATCATGGCTTTGTAAGCAGAAGGTTCTACATTTAATCCCATGAATGGAAAAAAAACCGAGGAAACCTTCTGCTTGGTAATTCTGGAAAACTACTATTAGCAAGTTTATATAGTAAAGCCGTTGTGGTGCAGTGGTTAGAGTGCAGTACTGCAGGCTACTTCTGCTGCCTGCCGGCTGCCAGGAATTTGGCAGTTCAAATCTCACCAGGCTCAAGGTTGACTCAGCCTCCCATCCTTCCAAGGTGGGTAAAATGAGGACCCAGACTGTTGGGGCCAATAGGCTGACTCTGTAAACCGCTTAAAGAGGGGCTGTAAAGCACTGTGAAGTGGTATATAAGTTTAAGTACTACTAAGTACTATTATAATACTTATCCTTAGACCAGGCATCTCCAAACCTGGAAATTTTAAGACCTGTGGACTTCAACTGCAAGAATTCCTCAGCCAGCAGTGCTACAATACCATGCTAAGCATTGTGTAAACTTGCCGATGGCTATGTTGGCTAGGGAATTCTGGGAATTGAAGTCCACAAGTCTTAAAGTTGCCAAGTTTGGAGACCTTTGCCTTAGACCAACTAATTTGGAATAAAATGGCTTCTTGAACTCTAGTCTCTCCAGAAGTTGGAGCATATAAGCATTCTATAGCTCTTAAAAAGGATTTCAGTATCTTCCTCCCTCTCCATCAAAGTATGCCAGCACACTTATTGCTTGCTAGGGTTGTGAAACCATCTGAAGGGATGCTTCATGGTGTGCTGTCAACAAAGCGTCCCTGTTTGAAACCATTCTGGGAAGCTTCTGGGAAGCCCAGCATGGCTGTTTCAAGACCTTTTGAGACCATCTCCATGTCTCTCTCTGTGTGTGCGAATATCACTTCAACAATAATCCTAACAAAAGCACCATCTGTGTAGGTAACCTGAGAGAGCTTTTAAACCATTTTGTACATTAATTCCTGCTTTAGTGTAAGAGGAGCAAGCTAGCTCTGAATCAGAAGACGCGGAGAACTTCTGGACCAGTCTTTTAGCAAATTAGACTCCCGGTGTCAACAAGCAGAGCTGCAGGGTGGACTGCATAGATGAAAATTGCAACGATACAAGATCAAAACAAGCCACTTCCTCCTTCCTATTCTTTGCAAGCCTCCATGGCAGATTAGGGTGGACTGTTTCGTGCTTCCAAAGTGAGCCGCCTTGATTGCATGACGGCTGGAAGAAGAGAGCTAGCAAGTGTTGTGGCCCGCCAGCGGCCAGCAGAGCTGGTGGCAGACTCAGACAGTGAGGAGGTTGGGGAGGAACATGGGCCAGTCCTGGAGTCTGAGGAAGGCTCTGATGAGTGCTCTGCGTCAGAGGCAGAGAGGGAGCCAGGGCCATCTGACAGTTGTCAGCTGCCTTCAGAGTCAGACTTCAGTGGGACAGAAGAACAGCTGAAGCCTGTTCCCAGTGTGCGCATGCACAGAGCTGCCAGGAGAAAGGAACAGCTAAGGAACAAGGGTCGACTCAGGAGTAAAGCCACAGGTGGACGATGAATGGCCCCTCCCAGAGGGAATAAAAGAGGAGCGAAAGGGGAATGGAGTTTGCAGGAGATAATTAATTCGCTTAATTGGTTCGTGACTCTCCGAGACTCCTTGCCAAATTTTGAAGATATCGGCCTGGCAGCTCCCCAAGCCAGATAAGGTCTGTGAGTGTAAATTCACCCTTGAAAGACTTTGCTGGATGTGAATGAGAGGAATTCACAGTAACTTAATAAAAAGGGTTTTTTGTTGGGACAAGGGAGTCTGCTTCATGCTCTTGGGAAGCCTAGGTCAGAACAGGAAGAGACAAGGACATCCTTAACATGGCTCCCCTCTGCGTGCGTATCTAAACTTGTCAGGCTCCGATTCTTCCAAGCACAATGTAATCACAAAGCCTCTTTAGGAAAGAATTTTCGAGAAGAGGTTATAAAAATCCCAGCAACTGAACTCTTTCCCATGTCCAACCAACATATCCCCAAGCTACGGTCGGGCAGAAACTTTTTTTCCGAGTTGTTTTTCTAACTTGCTTCTCAGGAAGCTTTGCAGCTGGCTGTTTTATGTAAGGACCTTTAGAATTTTATCAGTCTGGGAACCGACTCTTCACAATCACCGCGGAGGCCTTCCAGTTTATAAGAGATCCATCGGAAGCCAGGGGGTTTCAGGGCCAGAACCTTGAATACATTAATATAAAACGGCCAACTAAATGAGAAAAATACAAAGCAAGGGGTTCTTGCTGTGGAAAGGGTGGCTCACACATCAGCCCCAGGCTTAAATCCCAGAGGATGTAAGGAGGTTTTTGCATCCTCATTTTGGCGGGCAGCCACCAATTAATTTAAGTGGCTCGGTGTAGTGTACAATAAAATCTTTAATTAGCCATGCCATGCGGAGGATCTGAATGGCTTTTGTTGCCAATTGAAGAAGGGATCCTGATGCAGAATTCCCAAGACACGCCGGAAAGCTGGCAAACAACCAAAACTCGCCGATTTCTTGCAGCCCGAGACGAGATATTTGCACAGAAGCATTTGCAAGGTGAGAATTGTTCCATGATGGGATTGCCTTTTTTTCCTCAACAAATTTTGGTTGAATGGACGCTTGTCGTTGCCTTCAAAGAGTTTATTTCAGGGCTGATCGCTTTGTCATTTTTTTTTCCTGACGATTGTGTTTGTGTTGATTCCTGGTGTGCTGTTCTGAACCCCTCTGTGAGAAACAGGGGTACCCAAAACTACAAATGAAATAACCTGGAATAATAAACCCGGATGTTTAAAATGGAGACCCTTGTGCAGTAGCTGTTGTAACGTGACACCCCTCTTCAAGATTCACAAACTGTGCAAGCTCTATTTTGGCATCATATGGATAGTCATGATCAGTGACAGTTTTCCACCTCTGAGGCTTTCTCCTTCCTTCTCAGGTGAGGCCCAAAATGTCATTAATGAGACTTCCTCATTTCTGCAATATTTTAGGTGGTTTTAAAACAAAACTGTCTAAATTGAGGGGAGAAAGAAGAATTCTGGGAGCCACCAACTGCTCTCAATACCCACAGATGCGACATACCCTATTTCAGGGGTGAAATGCTCCGGTTCGGACCGGATCACCCGATCCGGTAGCGATGGAGGTGGGTGGTTCGGAGAACCGGTAGCAAAAATCCCTGCAAACCCGCCCCCCATGCCCAACTGAGCCGTGAGATCATCAGAGGCTTTTTTAATGTTATTTTTAAAAGCATTTTTTCTACAACCTCTTTGGCCGAAAAAATGGGAATGGGGATTTTGCAGTATCCTTCCCCTGGAGTGGGGAGGGAATGGGGATTTTGCAGTATCCTTCCCCTGGAGTGGGGAGGGAATGGGGATTTTGCAGTATCCTTCCCCTGGAGTGGGGAGGGAATGGGGATTTTGCAGTATCCTTCCCTGGAGTGGGGAGGGAATGGGGATTTTGCAGTATCCTTCCCCTGCCACGCCCACCAAACCACGCCCACCAAGCCACGCCCACAGAATCAGTGGTAAAAAAAATTGCATTTCATCATCGTTGGTGAGACTAAAAAGATAAAGAAACCCTACAGAGCCGGCTCTATAGCGGAGGTGTCAAAATTGGCAGCCCACGGGCTGGATGTGTCATGTGTAGGCCACGCCCACCCCAATTCTGTGAAGGGGGGAAAATGTCACAAAACGTCACGACAATGTGACATGGGAAGTTTGACACCCATGTTCTATAATATTTTTTTCCCCAACCCAGAGAACATCTGCTATTGGTCATTTATCCGACAAGGAACGGAGCTTAAGAATGAAGCTGTCAGCAACATTCTGAGCTACTGCCCAACTGCCTCTCCCATTGCTAATGGATGGGGGCATTTTTATCTACAGCTTCTTGCCAGATGGAGCTCATTTTCAAACTTCATGTTCCTTTGGGTAACTTCTTCCTCCACACCGCTTTTGTTCCTGTTCTATTCAGATGTTATCCTGCTAGGCAGGTATTGGAACTCTACCTAGTATCTTCTTAACTTTCTGTTGAGTTGGAAAGAGCAACAGGTGCCTCTGATTGAGATGTGGCCTGCTTTGCTGCAGTCCCAAAGGGGAGGGGGAATCATAGGTTTCCATCAAACCCCCTATCTACTTTCTGTTACCTGTCTTCGTAAGGGGATGCTCTTGGCCAGTTTATGGACGGCCAACTGGCTGTTGAAATCGGTCTTCTTGGTGGTGCTCTTCATCTTGTAAATGAGGGCGGTCACAATCATGCAGGAGATGAGGAAGCCCCCCGTGCAGTAAATGATGATCTCCAAGTACAAAGGAGAGGTCATCAGAGCTGGTTTGTCTTCTATAGCTGAATCAGTATAAAGAAAGCATTAGCACAAAAGATCTTCCATCAGGGCAGCTAGAAAAATCAGTAGGGTCAAAAGAACAGCTCATACCCCAAGCCTACCAGGTTGGTCCTGGCATGATATGTTTGTGAGTCTTGGGCAATCACTGCTATGGTTTAGTATAATACTTCAATCAGGGCACGAGTGATCGGTCAAGAAGTTATAATTTAAAATAGCTGGCTTAGTACAGTATTTGTAGGGGAGAATATGAAGCTGGGGTGTTTCTGTAGGCCTTGCATGCCCTTGAAATAAAAGAGGGAGAGGTGATATCGAAGACTTTTCACCTCTCAAACTCAACCAGCATCACCAATTCAGTTTCCAGAATGAAATCTTGTATGATATACTGGAATCCCTTCGTTTAGACCAGTAACTTTCACACGTAGCTACTGAGTCTAAAGAAAGTCCATTTATGTTTGATGTTACGGCAGTGCCAGTTTCAAAGGAGGCTTCCTTTGAGCTTGGCCCGTGGAGCAGGATGTTGGAGGCAGATGGAAGTCCTCTCTTTTATAGGCTTCCCTCCCAAATGCCCATTAATAATAAAGGTATGACAAAGATTTCCAGCTCATTCATTTTGTTCTACTTTGAAAAAGTTCGCTGACTTGGGGACCTCGTCATGCTGCCAAAGCAAACTTTCCAGAATGATACAAACCATGGTTGGCACAACACATACATCAAGGAGGCCAAATGGTGCCACTTTTTCCTGTTGCACCAAACTGGAAAAGGTTTTGCTCAGAAATATTCTCAGCAGCAAAACAGTTTCTGAGATGGCAGTGCCACCTTACCTGGCTTTTTCTAACTGGTGCCACTGCAGTAACAGCTTTAAAGTTAAATATATACATCATATAGCTATAATAAAGGTAAAGATAAAGGTAAAGGTTTGCCTCGCACATATGTGCTAGTCATTCCCGACTCTAGGGGGCGGTGCTCATCTCCGTTTCAAAGCTGAAGAGCCAGCGCTGTCCGAAGACGTCTCCGTGGTCATGTGGCCGGCATGACTAAATGCCAAAGGTGCACGGAACGCTGTTACCTTCCCACCAAAGGTGGTCCCTATTTTTCTACTTGCATTTTTTACGTGCTTTCGAACTGCTAGGTTGGCAGAAGCTGGGACAAGTAACGGGAGCTCACCCCGTTACGCGGCACTAGGGATTCGAACCGCTGAACTGCCGACCTTTCGATCGACAAGCTCAACGTCAGAGCCACTGAGCCACCGTGTCCCTATAATACCAGCAAGGAAAAAACTGCTGGCATTATAACAATATTCTGAATGTAGAGATCTTTAAAAGGGGATGAAGCAAGAAATAAAAGTTCCAACTTTCCTTTCCCCCCAAAAATAGTAATAAACAGAGAATGGCAGTGGGGGTGGGAGGAGGGCAGAGGAGATGTGATGAAAGAAAATTAACAGCCCTGTTATCATCTTTCTCATCAAAGATGGCAGGGCACTGAATGGGTGGAGATGAGACAAGGAGAGAGATAGTAAACCCTCATAACAGAGCAGATTTTGGAAGGGGGCATGAGTACAATCTACAGCAATAGTTCATGCCTTTCTCCCCAATCAGTTATTAGTTATTATTATTATCAGTTATGCTGGCCACCTTCTGATGGCTGGCAAAAAGAAGCCATCATCAACCCAGCAGACCTGTCTATCAAGAGAAACTCATGCAGAGCCTTCTAGGCCCACAGAGAATGCAAGATTCCAATCTACCAAGGCAACATTCCATTCTCATTCAAGGACATGTAGGAATAAGTCTTATTTTGGGGTCTTGGGGAATCTTCATTTTGGTAATCCGCTCTTTCGGGAGGGATCTAGGAGCCACTAGGTTCCATCTTCTCCATCTCTCTTGCCATGAGATAAACTGGAGAAGGGAAAAATGGATCTCCAGATCCTCCAAGAAGAAGGGGACAATCTGCCATGGCCGTTTCACCACGGCCAACCTACCGCAGCCAACTCGCCAACAGGGGCCAACTCATCCATGCACAATTCTACGCGAGATAACTCAATGCAATAGTTATCCGCCACCGTTTCTTGGACATTATTTCCATTCTTGTCAATGGAAATAATGTCCAAGAAGCGGTGGTGGATAGCATTTATCACATTGAGTTATCCCACATGAAACTTTCTGTGACTACGGCAAGATGGCTGCAGCACGTTGTGATAGACCCCCCACCTCCAAGTTTCATACATATGTTGTTGTATCCTTTGGAGTGAGTTTGTTCATGTGGATGTATATGTCAGACCTGGAAGCCATATTTTGCGTTGGGCCTTCAGGCCTGCCACATTTACTGCTGTGGGAAATTGGGAAGGGGGGATTGTATGGAGCATGGGTGATATGTAGTCATAATAACATTCCTTTCTCAGAGCATCAAGGACATCTTGCCCTGCACCTGGAAGGCTGGAACTGGGAGGCATCTCCAGTTGGGACGGTGCTTTGATTGGATCATGTAATGGACTTGTGGGTGTTGAACTTTTCTTTGGGTGGGGAAAACCTGGAAACTTTCAGATTCGGGTTTCCCCAGATGTGCCAATATGTCATCTCTAATAAAATGTAACTTTGAGGAAATTCAAGCCTAGGAGTTTTCTTTCTTTGAGGGCGTTACTTGGAACCCTGACAGTATATATGCAATGGTGAACAATTGTTGTGCTGTTGTGTTGACTTCTAAGTTGATGTGTTTGAGTATGTGGATCACAGCTGGATAAAAGGGCAGCCAGTGCCTCCTTAAGTTTACAACTGGCATTTTATTGCGATGAAGGTGGGCAGAGCTTGATACTCCCAAGGATGAGAAAGGCAGCTTGTTAGATGTTCTTACTTGTACACACAGAACATAAGACAAGCATTCACCACTGCAGCCCTGATAAATACAATGATTTCATGGTAGGGACTGGGGCTCATTTGCTGTCTTTTGACGCTTCTTTTTAGAAAGCAATACAGTTTGGGTAAAGGTGAATTTTCAAAGAGGCATCTGAGCATTGACAGATGTGTCTCCAATTTGGAAAAAGTTGAGAATTCAAAGGATCTCAAGTGTTGCCCCTGTTTCTATCCTGTATTGCATGAGCCGCGGTGGCGCAGTGGTTAGAGTGCGGTACTGCAGGCTACTTCTGCTGACTGCCGGCTGCCTGCAATTTGGCAGTTCGAATCTCACCAGGCTTAAGGTTGACTCAGCCTTCCATCCTTCCGAGGTCGGTAAAAGGAGGAGCCAGATGGTTGGGGGCAATAGGCTGACTCTGTAAACTCCTTAGAAAGGGCTGTCAAAGCACTGTGAAGCGATATATAAGTCTAAGTGCTATTGCTATTTGGCTGGCCTCCTATCACCCCCAAGTCCATCTCATATATCTCTTGGCATTGAACCTTTGGGGCCCTGTGTGTGCCAGCTCTGTCTTTTCCTCTGCCAAAGACAAAGCGAAGCACAGAAAGGGTGACAGCCTTCCTTGAAAGAATGGAACTGGCCTATGAAAAACTTGGATCTAGCCTCTAGTTGAGTTGTAACTCAAATCAGAAATGAACAAGACCTTGGCCTGCAAGAGCCATTGATGGTGCTGTGGGTCATCCCAATTTAGCAGACGAGGAAACAGGACCAAATGGGAGGCGATGGCTTACCTGCAGGATGATAGGAGCTTCCTATCTTGGACAGGGGTTGGCAGACACATTTTGATTAACCATCCCATCCATAAGAGGAAGCCAATTGGTGGGGTCCCTCTACCACTCTTTCTCCTCCTCCTCCTCCCCTACCTCCAAGGAGCCCGGCTCTTGCAAACCATGGCAAGCTACTTCCCAAAGCTAGTCAAAGAGACAGCAAGGAGACAGAGAAAGGAACAGAACCGATATATACCTTCTAGAACCGTCAACCATGCAGAGTGATGGGAGATCCCAATAGAATTACCCGCCAAACAAGTATACTGCCCAGCGTCCTCAAAGGAGACATTCCTTAAGTGAAGGACTTCCATTTCTTTGTCAGTTGTGTTAACACCAGCTGTCTAGAAAGGGGGGAAAAAATGGAAGCAAAACAAAACAAAACAAAAAAAAGGAAAATAGGACGAGCAAATGTAAGACAAGCTGAAGGAAGAGGAAGGAGATAACATGCGTCTCCTGAAGAACACAGAGACACCACTGTAGCCTAATGACAAGACAGCCTTGGGGCAACCACCAGTCCTGGCTTAAAGCGGGCAGTGTTAAAAACAAACGATAAAACAACCCTTCACCATATTGAATTTTCCTGCCCATCGACATGCTGGGGGATGGGCCACATGGAAAAATGGACCTTGGGAAGGCGAAGACCAGATTAGTTTCACAGTGTGGGACAGGCCAAGGGATAGGTGGAAATGGAAGGGGCAGAGAAGAGAGAAAGTTTGGAGGAGAGAAGCTGACAGGCTCTTGAAAGGCAAGAGGGAGCAGGTTGCTCCCAACAGGAAGAGGAGAGCCGCCATTTTGTTTTGGCTGTGAAAAGTGAAGATAGTAGCAGAATTCAAAATTAGGCCTACTTAAAGGAAGGGCTTGCATCATCAACAGCCAGGTTAAAAGCAATGGGGCGAACAGTGCAACACTCAGAAAAAAGGTGCACTTCGTTTAAAGGAGGTATTGATTTTGCTGCCTCAAGAGGAGATCTAGGTTGAGACAGTGATACTGAAATATTTTTAATAATTCTGGAAGAAATGAGATCCTTATCAGTATTCTTCTGACCAGCTTATAAGAGGGCCCCAATGGAGGGGAAACCCCCCCCCCCCAATTTGATGTTCAAGCAGAAGATTTTTAGGAATAGTTTCTCACTTCTAGTTTAGTTCATTATGGAAGAGGATTAGAAGTAGAGTAGAGTAGAATGTGGAGTGGAGTGGAGCGGAACGGAACAGAACGGAGCGGAGCGGAGCAAAGCAGAGCAGAATAGAATAGAATGTGGAGTAGAGTAGAATAGAATAGAATGTGGAGTGGAGTGGAGTGGAGTGGAGTGGAGTGGAGTGGAGTAGAGTAGAGTAGAGTAGAGTAAAGTAGAGTAGAGTAGAGTAGAGTAGAGTAGAGTAGAGTAGAGTAGAGTAGAGTAGAGTAGAATGTGGAGTGGAGTGGAGTGGAGTGGAGTGGAGTGGAGTGGAGTGGAGTAGAGTAGAATGCGGAGCGGAGCGGAGCGGAGCGGAGCGGAGCGGAACAGAGCAGAACAGAACAGATAAGAACAGAACAGAACAGAACAGAATGTGGAGTGGAGTGGAGTGGAGTGGAGTGGAGTGGAGTGGAGTGGAGTGGAGTAGGGTAGGGTAGGGTAGAGTAGAGTAGACTAGAATAGAGTAGAATAGGAGTTGGAAGGGACCTTGGAGGTCTTCTAGTCCAACCCCCCGCTCAGGATGAATGAAACGACACACTGTTAGGAAGAGGAAGAGAAGAGGAGCATGAAACGTAACCGATCCGCCGTTCCGAGGATTTTTCCATGGCTTTATGGCACCAGAAACAGAGGAGGAAACAGGAGAGCCACAAAAGTTTGGTTTCTTCCACCGCTAAGAATCGCCCAAAGTGGCATTCTTCCCGTTTACCTTCAGCCACGGGTCTGGTGACGGTCAGCCACGCAGACTGGTTAGCCTCACCAATATAATTGGAAACCTTACAAACATACTCCCCGCTTTCAGCCTCTGTCACATTATAGAGGGTCAGCACTTCCGCATCAGAGCTATTTATTCCCGAGTGCTAGAACAAGACCAACAACACAGGAGTCACTGGGCAGCCAGGGATGGGCTTTGCAGCTCTGAGACAACACCCACAATCACATTACCGCCTCCCCTTGCCGCAATCCAAAACAAGGAGTGGAACATTCCCTGTTCGCCTCACCCCCACCCTTTGCTGGCATCTCTCATTTCAGAGAAAGCTCTAGGGCAAGAGTTTGCCAGCCTTGGCAATTTTAAGATGCGTGGACAGGGGTAGGCTGCTGGGGGTTCACAAGGGTTCGGGAGAACCTCTAGCTAAGATTCTGGGCAGTTCGGAGAACCCCCAAATCCCACTCCTGTCTGGCCCTGGCCACCCCGCCATGCCCCTTCCCAGGAGTCCTCACACGGCCCGTTTTGGATGCAGGTAAGTGCATGTTGTGGCTCCGATCCCCGAGCCCATTTTATCGGAGGAAGAAGGCTCTGAACATGAAGGAGAGGAGCCGGCCAGGCCTCCCTCTCCAGGCCCCTCCTCTCTGGCAATGCCTCAGGTGTCTGCCGAGGGAGAGGAGATTGACCAGGAGCCAGGTGTCTCCGATGACAGCGATGTGGGTGATAAGTCGTTCCTGGATCCACGCCAACGAAGGCAAGATAAACGTTTGCAGCAGATGAGGAGGCGTGCCAGGGATTAAGCTGAGTCATTGGACCACACCCCACAGGCTATGTAAGAGAGTGTGGTGGCCATTTAGACTCTGTGACGGACAAAGCTAACTTCTGGCTAGTCACTTTGTACAATGCCTGATCTGCTGAAGGTTTCATGTTTGAGCTGGACTGTTTTTGAAAACTGTGTATTTGTTGGTGATTATCTGGTGGAGGAAAACTCCCTCTTCTTGAAGTAAAGCACTTGGCAGACGGTTATCGTATTGCTGCCAAGTTCCTGATAACGAACCTTGTGTGTGCTGAGTACTTCTTTAACCCCTGGCTGGCTGTTTGTGTGTGTGTGGGGATGGGGACAGAATAGTGCAGGGCATGCGCGGAAGCTTGGGGAGGGCGAAAAACGGGCCTACCGGAAATTCAGGAAGGTTGGAAATGGGCCAGTTTCCGGCCTCCAGAGGGCCTCTGGAGCCTGGGGAGGCTGTTTTCGCCCTCCCGGAGGCTTGAGGAAAGCCTCCAGAGCCCGGGGAGGGCAAAAACGCCCTCCCGCTGTGGTGCAGGAGGCCGATTAGGCCAAGCCCACCATGGCCATGCCCACCCAGCACCCGGGCAAAGAACCCCTTGCTAAAATTTTTGAAGCCCACTCCTGTGCATGAAGTTCAACTCAGTGTGAGTGAGAGTGTGAGGTCCACCAGTCTTAAAATTGCCACGGCTGGGAAAGCCCTCTTTAAGGACACAACCTATATCATTCCCATGTCTTGCTTAAGATATATCTTTTATCAGTAATAATAGGAACCTCATGGACACCAGTTTTATTCCTAAACATAGCCTTGGTGCGTCTAAAGAATAACACTTTCAAACGGATTCCCTGTCCCTTTTAAAATTTCCCTCTATGTTTACTTTTCGAAACACTTCAGTAGAAATCCGACATTTTGCATTGCACAGCAATGGTCCCAGATCATCTCCATTTATCAAGTCTTTGAGGCCCTCTAGGGATATCAAGAACATTCCGGGCAACGAGTTTGACTTTTGATAAGCAAGTAGTTGTTTGCCTGTGATAGCCATTTTATTTATTTATTTATTACATTTCTATGCCGCTTTTGTCAAAGGTGAAGCCCTCAGTGGCAGCCATTTTGTGAATGCATCGGCTACATGCTTCCAAAATTCCACCCGGGACCTCAGCTTAAAGGCTGCCTCCCTAACTAACATATGCTAAAGGAGCAAGTGTGTTCATTTTACAACTCTGTGGTCCAGTTCGGTTCCACAGAGGCAGCGTTACCAGAAGATACTGGAAAACTACATGAAATTTGTCTTGGCATACCAGGATATTTAAAGCAATCTGATAAGGAGAGACTCAAATAAAAGAAGTCCTTGGCCATTTCAGAGTCCTTAACAATGTGCATGTGATGGTTGCCTTTGATTCTATTCATGATCATAGACATGAACCATGTCATATGAGCTTCATCCAAGCAGATCTCCTCCAGAACATGCTTCCCTTTCCTAGATTTTGCCAGAATTGCCAAGTTCCAAACTTAGATGAGTTGGCATAGTCTGTCTGATTGACTGGACCCATATTACTTCTCCAATCCAAGCTACACGGCCATGTTTCTCACATGTATCATAAGCTTCCCCTCCTAAGATTTTAAGAAATAAGCCCCAGATTAACTAAGCGGTCCCATCACCCAAGTTGAAAGACCTTACCTTCAAGACTTGAACAAAAGGCAAGTTATTTGGTCCAATCTTGCTTCCATTGACTTCAATGTGCTTCAGCCACTGGATGTGGGGTTGAGGGTCACTATAGACCTTGCAAACAAATTCCACATTGCTACCTAATGAGACTGTCTTGTTAGCTGGGAGCCCAGCTTGTAGGATAGGCCGGTGAGGAGATCTTTCTAGAAAAGACATAGGAGAAAAAGAGTTTCAAGCAACTTGACAAACGGAAGAGAAGAAGAAATGGTGAGAGAGTCCATATCACTCTGCCAATTTATTTTGGTGTCGCCTGTCAGCCAGGAGAATTCACTCCAGAAAGAAAGAAAAAACAAATATTACCAACTAGAAGATTAGCAAACAAAAAAGTAGACTGCAATAAATGTGACGACTTAAAAAAGAACTTAAGCGAGCAACCGCTTTTACCTAGATCCGTGATGGCGAACCTGTGGCACGCATGTCAGAGGTGGCACGCAAAGCCCTCTCTGTGGGCACGTGTGCCATCGCCAGTTGCTCTTCTGGTTTCTGAAAAATGGCCTGAAAACGGCTGGAAAATGCTCAAAAAGCAGCCTGAAAATGTCCCCAAAAATGGTCTGTAAATGGCCTGAAAAAAGGCAAAAAGCAGGCCATTTTCAGGCCCAAAATAGCCGAAAGACTGCCTTAAAAATGGCCTGAAAAAGGCCTGAAAAATGGCCTGAAAACGGCTGGAAAATGCCTCAAAAAGCAGCCTGAAAATGTCCCCAAACGGTCTGTGCCCGAAAAAAGGCAAAAAACCAGGCCATTTTCAGGCCCAAAATAGCGAAAGACTGCCTAAAAAAATGGCCTGAAAAGGCCTGAAAAATGGCTGAAAACGGCTGGAAAATGCCTCAAAAAGCAGCCTGAAAATGTCCCCAAAAACGGTCTGTAAATGGCCGAAAAAAGGCAAAAAACCAGGCCATTTTCAGGCCCAAAATAGCCGAAAGACTGCCTAAAAAAATGGCCTGAAAAAGGCCTGAAAAATGGCCTGAAAACGGCTGGAAAATGCCTCAAAAAGCAGCCTGAAAATGTCCCCAAAAACGGTCTGTAAATGGCCCGAAAAAAGGCAAAAAAACCAGGCCATTTTCAGGCCCAAAATAGCCGAAAGACTTCCTAAAAAATGGCCTGAAAAAGGCCCGAAAAATGGCCTGAAAACGGCCTGAAAAATAACCTGAAAACAGGCCTGACAAACAGCCTGAAAATGGCCCAAAACAGCCTGAAAATGGCCCAAAAATGGCCAAAAATCCAGGCATGCGGTGAGCTGACCAGCTGGTCTTTGGGTTTCCGGTGCTCCAGCATGCACACACGTTCCGGTTTGGGCACCTTTTGTGCCGAAAAGGTTCGCCATCACTGACTTAGACCAAACAAAATATAACATCTATATCAGTTAAATCTCCGTGTCAGGTTTCGAGGTCGTCTCAAATAAATTGCATTTCAAACAAAGTCTTTGAAGAAAAACTCCTATTTATTAAGCACGACATTCTAAACCTGACTCCATCGAAGCCAACACTGACTTCCAGACCCAAAACCCTCCCTTTCCGTTCCCCACTCCCCTGCACTCATTGGCCATCTTCCAAGTCACTCTATCCCTAATCTACTGCTCCAGCTCAAAGGAATTTCCCCGCTCCCATCCCATCTCCTAGGGGATATTATCTCCAGGGAAAATAAATAGGTGAAAAGTCAAACGTCCCTTTCCAGACGCCTCCGCCTCTCCTTCTTATGTCAGCACTAGAATAAATGCAGCTTGAAGTGCTGACACTCTGAAGGAAATAATTCCACTCAGGATACAAAATCTCCATTTCTGGTTAATTTGTTGAATTTGATTTTTCGCGATCGTGGCCTACTCAAGATGTGCATTTGGTACACGCTTTTAGAAATGGATATTCTTCTTCGCAAACAGTTTCTCAGGTTTTTGGAGGGACACATACTAATTTTTGTGTGGATTTTGCTTTATTTTTCACTTTTCAAAAGTGGTGCATTATATATAGTGCACTAGAAGACAGTTAAAGTAAAGCTGTGAACCAATTAATACATAGATTAGGAGTGGAGGAAAGCATATACTGGGTAACAGCTAAAGCTAAACTGTGAACTAGCCAAAAAATATAAAGTTAGGAGTGGAGGAGACTATACCTGGGGAACAATTGAAATATAGTTGTGAACCAGTTAAAAATAAAGGTGGGAGCGGAGGAAAGCACTGCTGGAAAGCAACTATTTAAGTTGCAAACCAGTTATAAAATAAATATAGGATGAGTAAAGGAGATAAGGTTGCTGGGTGTAGTTAAAATCATACTGTGAACCAGCCAAAATAATTTAAGGTTAGGAGTGGAGGTAAGCCTTGCTGGAAAGCAGCAAATCAAGATGTGAACCAGCTAAAAAATAAAATTAGGAGGAAGTGGAAGAAACTTTACAGGAGAATAATAATATAACTGTGAACCAGTTAAATAATCAGATTGGAGTTATATAAACTACTAAGAGAAAAGGGAAATAAATTTTTTGATAAGTTTTGGATATTAGTTGTGATCAAGAAGAGGTGAAATATAGATTTGGTGTAATGGGTCTTAAATTGAGAAATGTATATGAAATATTGATTGTTAAAATGATAGAGATTTAGAATGGTGTTTATAGTCTAGAATGTTGGGCGAAATAATTGAATGATAAATGTTTAGAATAAGATTTTTTTTCTTTCTTTTTTCTTTTCTTTTTTTTTAAAAAAAGATGTAATTGGATAAAAATGGCAACAAAATTGATTGTGGGAATCTTAATAATTGTACTTATTATATGACGGAACAAGCACCTGCTCTAAAAAGATATATTTTATGTTTTGTGTTTTGAAAAATAAAAAAAAATTGGGGGGGAAAAAAAGTGGTGCATTATAAAATTCTGAAAACTCTAGTGAATAACAGCAGAGGGCTTCTCGGTGTCAGTCTGGCAAGTTATTACTTATTTATCTCTTCCTGAATTCCAGAAAAAGGAAGCACTATTAAGATGGTTCATTGCCTAATTCAGATTTTCCTAAATATTGTTTTATCTTCTCTTCATATATTGTCTCTTGTTTATAGTCTCTCATAGTAATTTTGAATTATTTTTTTTTTCCTTTTCTTCATTTCTATAACATATAGTTCCTTTCTCATCCATTAATGGATTAATTTTCCCCCTCTCTTTTTTCATTTTATATGCCAACCATCTGCCTGGCTTGTTTCCATTTTCAAAAAAAGTTCTGCTAAGAGGCCTTTATTTTACCTGCCAGGTCCTCTTTTTCAATTAAATTCATTTCATGTTTTTTTCAGTTCCATTTGTTTTTTCATCCTTTTATTTTGTGTATCTTTTTGTAGTTCCTTCTCTAACGTCTTATACTCCTCTTCCAGCTTTTTTTGTGTTTGCCTTTTCTCTTTGTTTTTTTTAATCCAGATATGTCATTGCCAGCCCTCTAATATATGCTTTCGCTGTGTGTCTCTTTCTCTGCATTTTTCTCTGCTCCATATCAGAATGCTAGAACACCGGTTTAAAGAAGGGGATTTCTACCACCCAACTAACGGCTGAAGAAAAGTAGAGATTTTGGAGATCTTTGAGATACCAGAGGTGACTCTGGATATCATCTCAACTGTTGAGGGAGAGGTCCCTCAAAGATTCCTGAGGCAATCTGAACTCATTTATGGATATTAACAACATCTACACCAATATCCCCTTTGTTCCCCCCCCCCAAAAGGGGGGGAAGAATCCCCACCTCTTTGACATCTTCCTCACATCAACAGTGATTCTCTTCTAAGATGAATTTCAGATAATTCTTTTTTAGCACGATTTATTGAGATTTATTCCTCTCCATGTCATACCAATGTGCACCAAAGTTCATTAGAATTGGAGCCTTCCTTCCTTCTCTTTCTTCCCTCCCTCCTTTCTTTCTCTCTTTCTCTCTTTTTCTTTCTTCCCTCCCTCCCTCCCTTCTTTTTTTTCTTCCTTCTCTTCCTTCCCTCCCTCCCTCCTTTCTTTCTCTTTTCTTCCTTCCTTCCTTCTCTTTCTCCCCTCCCTTTCTTTTTCTTTTTCTTCCTTCCCTCCCTCTTTTCTTTCTTTTTCTTTCTTTCTTCCTTCCCTTTCTTCCCTCCCTCCCTTTCTCTCTCTCTCTCTCTCTCTCTCTCTTTCTCTTTCTCTCTCTCTCTCTCTCTCTCTGCCTCTCTGAGAACTTGTGAGCTTGGATTCTTTCCCTCGATAAAGGACCTTGAAGGTGGCTCTTTACATAACCTTCTCACGAATCCCTTATTTGTCCAGGCAACCATTTTTAAGTTTTATTCCTCCAAGCAGGTGAGAAAACCATGCTGTAGCTTTTATGACGTTGAAGGTAAAGATGCTCTCTTTAATAGGCTCGGTCCTTGGCGATTCTATGGAAGCATCAATATTTTCTTGGCAATTCAGAGCAGTGGGTGCCCTTGCCCTTTTCCATTTATTTTTTTTAAAAAAATCTTTTCAGCCTACCTTACAGCTCCAGTATTCTTTCATTGTCTCCCATTCAAATGCTAACTAGGATGAATCCTGCCATCTTAACAAAAAAAGGTCAGCTAGGTAGGGCTACCTGCTGAGACTCTACAATACCTCGGCCTTAAATAAGCTCTATACTCTCCTTTGTGCATGTTGGACCGTAGGGGCAAATTTTGATTATGCCTGCCGGGTTGTGTTGCAGAAGAAGGAGATTCCCGAAGCTGCCAATTCGATGGCAGAGGAGGTCACATGTGGGTCACTTCCATACTTTAGGAGAAGTGCAGTTTTTGAATCGCCTGGCCAGAAAGGCTCTAAAGCAGTTGAGTGAACCCCCGCCTGCAGCTACTCAGATGCAGATCAGAAGTGGACTGTGGAACTTCTTAGAAACAAAAGAGAATTACGACAGCTGGCTCAGAAAACTATAGCTTCCCATTTGTCTGCCTTCTTCACATCTTCCCTTCTGATGTGACAAAGCAGGGATTAGGAAAAATGTTTTCCCCCTTAATTACAAGAAGCCGGAGCCAAGATTCCTATTATTATTATTATTATTATTATTATTATTATTATTATTTAATCTTTAGTGAGATTCACAGCCTTTGAGGCTGGTTAATAGCTCAGCAGCTCGAGTCCTAACCAAGGACCTAGGAACTGTTAAGGTATCGTCGGAGGATGTAAGCTGTTCCGAGTAAGGTGGTTTTTTGTAGAGTCAAAATGTTCAAGTCCGGCAAATTTAGAATTTCTAAATAATAATAATAATAATAATAATAATAATAATAATAATAATAATAATAATAATAATAATTTAATCTTTAGTGAGATTCACAGCCTTTGAGTTAATAGCTCAGCAGCTCAAGTCCTAACCAAGGACCTAGGAACTGTTAAGGTATCGTCGGAGGATGTTCCGAGTAAGGTGGTTTTTTGTAGAGTCAAAATGTTCAAGTCCGGCAAATTTAGAATTTCTAAATAGCGGGGTAGCCCTTTAGGTATTGCTCCAAGGGCTCCAATTACAATCGGGACAACATACGATTTCTTTTTCCACAGTCGCTCAACTTCAATTTGTAAGTCCCGGTACTTTGTGATTTTTTCTTGCTGCTTATCTTCAATTCGTGCATCACCAGGTATTGCAATGTCAATGAACCATATTATTAATATGATTATGATGATGATGATGATTATGATTATTATAGCTTGACACTTATTAAAAATATGAAGGGAATATGTCCTTGTTGCTGCTTGTTAAGAGTTCGTAGTGAATGTCCCCATCATGTATTCTACAGTCAAATTCCACTTCGAGAAGGAAGTATCACAAGACCAGTTTTTTCTCTGCCAAAAGCTTTGGATTAAAACTTCTGCAAAACTTCACTTGTCCGTAAGGAATAAATAGCCCATGTTTTCAATCTCTACCCCCAGCTGGGTTGCTATCAGCTTCATTAGAGGGACCAAGCTGGGGTCTCTTAGCTCTTGCATGAAGAAAGCCAGCGTGAAGCCTTCATGCTAGTCCTTGCTTCGAAAAACACCCCCTCTCCCCAATGAAATAATACTTGGATTAATCCAGGGGTGAAATGCTACCGGTTCAGACGGAACCGGTAGTGATAAAAACTACTGGTTTGGGTGAACCGCTAGTAAAAAAAAAAAAGCCACCAGTTCGGTTGAATTGGTAGTTTAAAAAAGCTACCGGTTCCTCTGACGTGGTATTTCCGACGATCAGCTATGCCGCACGGTTTAGCTTTGCTAGAAAGCAGGAAATCCTGCTTTCTAGTGAGGCTAAATCACGCAGCACAGCTGATCCCCCCCCTCGCTGTTCTACTTATCCAGACCTCCTTTTGACGTGTACTGTGCATGCACACATGGCCAGCAAACCAGTAGGAAACTGGTTCAGATTTCACCACTGGATTAATCTATTTCCTAAAAGCAATAATGAATTAACCCTAATATCCCAGAGTTCATTGTCTATGGAACATGCCACATAACAGGAAGCAATTAAAAAGAATAACAACAAAAAAAAAAAAACCCTCCATTGGGAAAAACGAACAGGTTAGAGCAGAAGTTCCAACAAATATTTAATTTCTATCTGTGGATTTGTAGTAATAAAAAAACAAGGTCATGACTAGATAAATACGAAGGATATCGGATCTCCGGGTTTTTTGCCGTGCCCTAAAAACTTTTCTTTTCCATCAAGCAGGGCTGGCGTGAAACCCCCTCCCCTTTTTAGTTTTTAGCTTTTTAAATTGTCAAAGGGGTTTTAGTTTCAATGTTTTAAATTTTTGGGCCACAGTTATTTAATTCTTTTAATAATTTTAAATTTTGTATTGATAACGTGTTTTAGTCTGGCTGTGCACCACCCTGAGTCCACTTGGAGAAGGGCGGGATATAAATTGAATAAAATAAAATAAATAAAATAAATAAATCAGTCTGGTACAAGTGGTGAAGTGAAGAATTTCCCCCCCCCCCGGTTTTCTTCTCTGAAGCTATCTATTCTATATTCATTTCTCACTCCCTTTTTCCCCCACTATGGATGTCAGTGAACACAACAGGGCCTGAGACATTCATTTTGTGGAACTGGGGTTGGGCTTCGAGCGGGCAGGGAAGGTAACAAATATGGCTACCTCTTCACTGGAAGTCAAAGGTCAAACAAATCTAACAAGGCCCTAGCTGATTAACAAAGAACCAGACACCATAGTGAGTGAGCATTAACCAGCTCCTTTGTTCCCCCTTGCAAACTATTTCCTTTAGTTTGCTCAGTGTAATCAAATTAAATTGCATTCTTAATGGTTCATTTAGTGGCATTTAGAGCAACTCCACAAATGACTGAGATCAGCGAGCCTAGGTTGGGAATCAAGGCTAATAAGGAAATTAATTGGGGAGGCTGATGAGAAAAAAAGTTCTTGCATAGCCTCCGAAATTACCATAAATGTGACATGCAAGATGAGACAAAGCCTTGTGTTTGAGTGGTGGAGCCAGTCTTCTGAATCCACCCAGTGAAGAGCTAGTAAGGGTGAAAATTTAAGAAGTGAACTCTTTGGAACAGCCTCTCTTTGCATACAGAAGCAATCCCAAGCCAAAATGCAGCATTCATTTCTTCTGTCCCCTCCAGAAATGCTTAGATGTTTAGGGAGAACTTCTGCCTATACATTCTAAGGCAGGGGGGTGTCCAACCTTGGCAAGTTTTAAGACTTGTGGACTTCCAAGTCCCAGAATTTCCCAGCCAGCCATTTCTGGGAGTTGAAATCCATAAGTCACAAAGGACTTTCCAAAAACCAAAGGGAAAAGAAAACAATACACTGTAGAAGAGCAGGCAGAGCTGGTGGGTGGAATTAAATGTATCATAAGCTTAGAATCATTACACGACCACAAATGGTCTGAGAGATTAATGTCAGGTGCAAAGGAGCAGGACCATACACGAAGTTGAAGTTCAGAAGATTTACTGCCCAAGGCTATACACAATCTAGTCAACTACAATTCAGTGCTACATTGGCACTGGATAAGGGTCAATGGAATTCAAAGAGGGTTGGACTTAAGACTGTTTGTGGGCACGACGTTCCCACAAACCTATGGAAAACCTATGGCACGTGTGCCACAGGGGCACATGGAGCCATATCTGTGGGCACGCAAGCTTTGCCCTAGCTCAGCTCCAGCGTGCATGTGTGCAATGGCCGGCTGATTTTCGGGCCTTTTGGGCCCACCAGAAGCCAGGAAACAGGCCATTTCCGGCCTCTGGAGGGCCTCCAGGGGGGTGGGAAAGGCCGTTTTTGCCCTCCCCAGGCTCCAAAAAAGCCTCTGGAGCCTGGGGAGGACAAAAAATGGGCCTACCGGGCTCACCGTGACATCATGTGCCAAAAGTGGGGGGAACATAGGGGAGTCGCGTGCGCATGTGTGTGGCACATTAAATTATGGGTGTGGGCACACGCACATGTGACCCCCCCCCGCGTTCCCCCTGCTTTTGGCACACGACGGCAAAAAGGTTAGCCCTCACTGCTCTAAGCTAATGATGCGCTTAACTCCGGCCACCAGCTCTGTTTGCTCTTCTCTTCCCTAAACCACTCTATTACAAGGAGTTAAGAATCAATTTGAATTATCACAGTGATGAATAAAAAGGAGATAATACAGAGAGAGCTATTGGAAAAGAACTTCCCAGGCCTCCATCCTGCATTTCAATTCTTTTCAATTCAAAGCAGGAAATTTTCTGGCTGCATCACCAAGGCAAAGATCTCATTATCCAGAGAGCTCTGAAGCTTCCAATAGCTCTTACATCAACATTCTCCTCTTCATATACAAATATAAACAAACACAGACTTTTAGACCGGAACATTACTGGTGCCAATATATATATATAGGTTGCAGAACTGATCGTTACATTATTTCACAGCCATTTTGCAGGAAAACTACAACTGTCAGCTATGAGCAGTCCAATCATGGATGGAGCTGTCCATGGTTTAGATAGGAAATCAAATTTACCAGAAATATTAGCTGCGTCCTGTCAGCCAGAGATAAAGTCCAGGTTTGCTCTTAGCTTGCTTAGCACGATGTGCCGAATGAACCACAAACCAAGGCTCAGGGTTTAAGTAACATCCCCAACTAAAGATTAGAATGCAGAACTGCAGGCTACTTCTGCTGACTGCAGGCTGCCTGCAATTTGGCAGTTCGAATCTCACCAGGCTCAAAGTTGACTCAGCCTTCCATCCTACCGAGGTGGGTAAAATGAGGACCCAGATTGATGGGGACGATATGCTGACTCTGTAAACCGCTTAGAGAGGGCTGTAAAAGCACTGTAAAGCGGTATATAAGTCTAAGTGCTATTGCTATTGACTCAACCTTCCATCCTTCCGAGGTCAGTAAAATGAGGACCCAAATTATTGGGGACAATATGCTGGCTCTGTAAACCGCTTAGAGAGGGCTGTAAAGCACTGTGAAGCGGTATATAAGTCTAAGTGCTATTGCTATCTGTCACTAGTCAGTCAAGTCCACTTAAAAGATGAGCCAGATGTCATAAACTATCTGTCAACTTGCAAAGCTTTCAAGTTGCCATGAGCAGGAGGGAGGGAGAACTGAAGTGAATTCCATACATTCTTTCTGACCGCAATCAGAAAGAGGGTGTTAGGTTTCACAGCCAGCCAAAGTGGTTAATTGGAGAATGTGATTTATGACATGGCCAGAGAGGAGGGGAGAGACAGGGTCATAGGGGAACGTAAATCTACGCAGGATCAGTCCTAACTGCATCCCAGTATTGCCGGAATGTTGCTCCTAATAAATGACTATATTTCCTCTGAAGTTTGGATCATGGCTCATGAATTAATTAGGGCATCTTTCGGAAACTTGACACTATCATAGATTGCACAAATTGCCCTAGTGAGTCCTCCCCCTTCTGAAGCTTCCCATTTCTTACCAACAACATCAAGGTGGTAGGTGTGATTGATGGCTCCGTATTTATTCTCCACAATGCAAGTGTAGTTGCCTTTATCCGATGGCACCACAGAGTCCATGATGATGCTCCAAGTTGCATGGCGAACCTGTTGAAAGAGGATGAAATGACTCAGGGAGGCTACCTGTTGACTAAGGGTTGGGACTCAAGCACAAAAGGAGATAGTGGATGTGACTGCCCTTTTTGCCTTTTCACCCTTGAGCAAGACCAAAGGTCTCTTCCAGATCCTCTATTGCTTGGTTTAGGATGCACGTAACATCATTAATTTGTGGTTATGTTTTCCCCTTCGAGCGCACAGGCTCGTAATTGCTGTCAGCTGCAGGGTTGACCACAGAACCATCTACATCTGGAAAGATTATTCTTGAAGAGTGGGATGAAGTTGCTTTGCCAGTACAGGAACCAGACCTGAAAATACTTCCAGTTGTTTTCCTCCCACGAAGGAAGGTTACTTAGTCCCAAGTTTCACCAAGAAACCGCACAGTGCATAGATGTACATTTATTTGCAGAATCTCCAAATCTGGAATCTGAATGTGTGTGCCACCTGTTCTTTCACTGTGACTGTTTATCGGGTCCATCCTATTCCACCTTGCAAGTTGCACATCCTCGCTAAGCAACTTAGGAAGCTTAGCAAAGGCAATGCTTCAAGAGAAGTAACACGCACAGGTCTGTAAGCTACAACCTGTGTAAAAAGGAGGTGTTAAAATTGAATCCCTGGTGCCGTGTAATGGGGTGAGCTCCCGTTACTTGTCCCAGCTTCTGCCAACCTAGCAGCTCGAAAGCACGTAAAAAATGCAAGTAGAAAAATAGGGACCACCTTTGGTGGGAAGGTCACAGCGTTCCGTGCGCCTTTGGCGTTGAGTCATGCCGGCCACATGACCACGGAGACGTCTTCGGACAGCGCCGGCTCTTCGGCTTTGAAACGGAGATGAGCACCGCCCCCTAGAGTCGGGAACGATTAGCATGCATGTCCTTTAAAATATAACCTCCTAAAACCTTGCAATTTTATTAAAAATCAAGGAGATTTTTTTTTTTAAAAAAAAAATGCCGTGGAAAAGTTAAAGCAACAATACAAATGTCAAAACTGGGCCTTTGTTTGAGAATCTACAGATGGTGGCCAGGGATGCTTTGAAAAATACACAGAAATACAGAGAAAATATTACGAAAGACAGACTGTTCCTCCCTGTTTTATTACAAAAGAGCCATGGTGGCACAGTGGTTAGAATGCAGTATTGCAGGATAACTCTGCCCACTGCCAAGAGTTCGATCCTGACCGGCTCAAGGTGGACTCAGCCTTCCATCCTTCAATGATCAATGAAATGTGGACCCAGATTGTTAGGGGCAAGATGCTGATGTTGTAAACTGCTTAGAGATAGCTGTAAAGCACTATGAAGCAATATATAAGTCTAAATGCTATTGCTAAATGGAAGGATTTCCATACCGGGGGATTTATTTTAATTTTTGTCATTCACATTTCAGTTTGTCCCTCTTTTAGCATCCTTTCTTTGATAATTCTATTCCACCATTTCTTTGGCTCCTGAACTTGGAGTTAATGCTGAATCTGGTCTACAAGTATGCTTTTTTGTGGAAGGAAGCACTAAGATACAAAACTTCGACCCTGTTTTTTTTAAAAATGGGAAAAAAATGACCCCATTCGCACCACAAGTTTTCACTGAAATCGCACAAATTTGCAATTCTGTGGGCTTGTTTCCATTTTCAGCCAGACACAGTCCCACCCAAGAAAGAGTGAGATCAACAGAACTATGACATAATTTCCAGCATCTCCCGGGATTTTGATGAAAAATTGCCAATTTTGGGAGGTAATCCACCTACGCAAACTTCCTTCCTGCTACACAGCAGCCTTTGTGGTCACTGGACAAGAGATGCAGAAGTTGCCGGTCCCCTTCAGATCTTTAGGGAAGAGGTAACTCATGCGATGGAAGCTGCCCTCTACCTGGATGAAGCTCTTGTTCTGTCCCAAAAACAGAAGTTTCCTTCCTGCAAAATTCGCCAACTTCAACAGCTCCTCCAAGAGAGAAAACTAGGTCTCTCTCTCTCTCTCTCTCTCCCTCCCTCCCTCCCCCCCCTCTCTCTCAGTCCACCTCGCAGGATTGTTGTTGTGGGGAAAATAGGAGAAGGAAGATGGGTTGGACATGTTTGCCACCTTGAATTATTTGTAAAAATGATAATGGCAGAATAGGAAGGAAAGAAAAGAAGGAAGAAGGAAGGAAGGAAGGAGAGATAAGAGGGAGGGAAGGTGGGAGGGAGGAATGAAGGAAGGGAGGAGAGATAAGAGGGAGGGAAGGAGGGAGGAAGGAAGGAGAGATAAGAGGGAGGGAGGGAGGAAGGAAGGAACGAAGGAAGG